AATAGAGTCCACAGAATGCACTGACTCCCAAAGAGCCGAGTGTTTTTTCTCTCCAGATTCCTTCTTCGTGTCTAGCAGAAATGGAATGGACAGTCTTCTTTTTGAATGCACCAGACCTTGATCTATGTCAGCCCTCAGTCAACATAACCAAGCATAACCATCAGTGTCATCAGTCAACATAACCAAGCATTACCATCAGTCAACATAACCATCAGTGCCATCAGTCAACATAACCAAGCATGACCATCAGTGCCATCAGTCAACATAACCAAACATACCCGTCAGTGCCATCAGTCAACATAACCAAGCATAACCATCAGTGCCATCAGTCAACATAAGCAAGCATTACCATCAGTGCCATCAGTAAACATAACCAAGCATAACCATCAGTGCCATCAGTCAACATAACCAAGCATTACCATCAGTGCCATCAGTCAACATAACCAAGCATAACCATCAGTGCCATTAGTCAACAAGCATGCAAGCATATATGACATCATAAAACAAAGTGATCATGCAGGAATACATATATTATATCTCATCCCAATGCCCTCAGTCACTCAGACGGCTATTTATTAAATTGCGAATTGTTGGGAATTCAAAGCGAACGTCAAAGTTTAGGCCATATTAACCAAACTGCACAAAATTGCTTAATTGAAGAATATTTCTGGCTTGGCTACCTTGGCCTAAAATATTAAATTCACTTTGAATTTCCTGCGATTCACTCTATAGTGAATAACCCAGACAGAGAGAGTGTAAATATTAAATTCACTTTGAATTTCCTGCGATTCACTCTATAGTGAATAACCCAGACAGAGAGAGTGTAAGGTGATTTTCAAAATGTAAGCCTGATTTGTCTTAAAGGGACATTCTGGGCACCAATGCAATATATTTATACCACGCGGACCTGGGTCGCAACACATGGAGTCCGGCACCCGGTATGTACGCCACTGACTCTGTGGGTATGTCCATGTGCTGGTGGCCTACATAGAAACATAGAATGTGACGGCAGATAAGAACCATTCGGCCCATCTAGTCTGCCCAATTTTCTAAATACTTTCATTAGTCCCTGGCCTTATCTTATAGTTAGGATAGCCTTATGTCTATCCCACGCATGCTTAAACTCCTTTACTGTGTTAACCTCTACCACTTCAGCTGGAAGGCTATTCAATGCATCCACAACCCTCTCAGTAAAGTAATACTTCCTGATATGATTTTTAAACCTTTGTCCCTCTAATTTAAGACTATGTCCTCTTTTTGTGGTAGTTTTTCTTCTTTTAAATATAGTCTCCTCCTTTACTGTGTTGATTCCCTTTATATATTTAAATGTTTCTATCATATCCCCCCTGTCTCGTCTTTCCTCCAAGCTATACATGTTAAGATCCTTTAACCTATCCTGGTAAGTTTTATCCCGCAATCCATGAACCAGTTTAGTAGCCCTTCTCTGAACTCTCTCTAAGGTATCAATATCCTTCTGAAGATACGCTCTCCAGTACTGTGTACAATACTCCAAGTGAGGTCTCACAAGTGTTCTGTACAATGGCATGATCACTTCCCTCTTTTTACTGCTAATACCTCTCCCTTTACAACCAAGCATTCTGCTAGCATTTCCTGCTGCTCTATTACATTGTCTGCCTACCTCTAAATCCCTTTCCTCAGATGTTGAGGTTAGGACTCTATCAAATATCCTGTACTCTACACTTGGGTTTTTACGTCCAAGATGCGTTATCTTGCACTTATCCACATTAAATGTCAGTTGCCACAATTCTGACCATTTTTCTAGTTTACCTAAATCATTTGTCATTTGGCTTATCCCTCCTGGAACATCAACCCTGCCACATATCTTAGTATCATCAGCAAAAATACATACCTTACCATCAAGACCTTCTGCAATATCACTAATAAAAATATTAAAGAGAATGGGTCCAAGTACAGATCCCTGAGGTACCCCACTGGTGACAAGTCCAAGCTTCGAATATAATCCATTGACTACAACCCTCTGTTGCCTGTCACTCAGCCACTGCCTTACCCATTCAACAATATTGAAATCTAAACTTAAAGATTGCAGTTTATTGATAAGCCTTCTATGTGCAACAGTGTCAAAAGGGGCCTGTGCTGCCATTACTTTCCAGGATCGGAGCCGGCCACTGGGATGTTTCTTGGTGGACTGATATATCTGAGGCTGACCAGGCAGTCAGACTACAATTAGTGTGTATGATGTCACTGGAAGTGATTGCTAGTGACCGCAGAGTAAAATGAGACAGAGATCATGACATTCAAAACACACACACTGGTTGTCATTCCTGGCAATGGAGTCAATGGCAAATGATTAATGTGTCCTTAGGCATGCACCACTCTCTGTGAATGTTCCTTCATAAAATGCAGGTCACATATATATGATGTCACACCTTGCAACTCCAGCATCCTTGTAACCCAGGCCAAACATTGCCAGCCCTCCCCTGATCATTAATCTATTTCAGAATCTTTATTTACTAGCACAGAGAGAGCTAAAGTACTGATGGAAATGGAATGGAAAGTGTCTGCCTTCCATTAATTACGTTACCTCTCGCTGGTCTTTTAAATAAAAATTCTGAAATAGGTTAATTCTCTACCATTTAGGCGGTAAATCACTTTTGTCTCTGTGTATGCAGTTATAGCCACAACTTCCCTGCTTGTGACTGACACAACCTGCATGGCAAAAAAAGATTTAATTTGCAATCAGATGTTAACTTGGTTTAGAAGTTTTTATTTACGGCTCTGTAAATTGAGCTTCAATTATACACATGGGCCTGGAAGGATATTAACAGAGCAGATAGTAAGAAATTCTGGATATTAACAGAATATGCAATAAGGAAGTTTAAACATTAGATCTCTCTTCTCAGGAAATGTGTAGGGAGACTGTGTAGCCCCCTTAATGGGACGTGTGATTAGGGCAATATAAACAAAGTGATTTAAATCCTTAATGACAGGGAATTGAGCAGTGATACTGATGGGGCATGATCTTATACATGAAAACCACCCCATTAAGGTAAAGTTGTTTTGGTGACTATAGTGTCCCTTTAAGGTATAAATTGCCCAAGTCATGTGTGACTAAGTGCCCTTCGCCACTTGTGCCTGGAGGGGACTACTGGCTAGCCTCCTGCCTTCCGACTATGGCCCATGTGCTGATAGCTGTATTTTTCCCTGCAGAAAGGTTGTGTATTTCTGCCGGGGCGTTCTGGACTTTCAATATGGTAGTAGTGCTACCCCAGATAGCTATGCCATGGAGCCTATTCTTGTAACAAAAGACTATGGCTCCATGGCAATTGAACTGTATGTATGTGATCTGAGCGCCATTTCGTAATAATGTGCGCTCAGATCTAAGCTATCTGGGGATATGTTGCATGTATATGTTTTATGTAGTAACATTGTGTAATTTTATGTCTTTTTGCTGCCATGTGTTCAATGGAGTTTTGCCTCTGCCCTTGGAGATAATTGGATTACTTCTCATTATCTCCAGGATAGAAGACACTGTGGAACTAGTTTTGGGCAGAAAAGCCATGCTTCATTGGTCACACAGGACTTCCGACTAACTTTTGAACTAATGGAAGGATTTGCATGATTTTTGGTTATGTTTATATTTAAAGTATGCTGATTCTCAATATGTATGTTTTATGTGAATATGATGCATATTTTTAAAGTTACAGTATATGTGTAAAAAGTGTATTTTTCCTGCCTGTGATAAATTACATTAACCCATTGTGTTCAGTAATTATATCACAGGGAGAGGGGAGGGATTGTATGTTGGTGCTGGGTGTGTTTTACGGTTTTCCTGTAAACGATTGGTTGTACTGTGTCCCACCCTGTGGGATGTCCCCATGGGGTCTTGCATAAAAGCCAGTGTGTGGTCATTAAAAGCAGATCATCTTGTACCTTTCTTGAAGCCTTGGCTCATGTTTGGGGAATTGGAGAACTACACTCTGGGGATTGCTATAATCACTATACTCCCCAGGGTATGATCACTAAGTTCTGCTAAGAGCTTGTTTCTGTTCCTGCTCTCTGGGGAAAGAGAGGTTCACTCAATGGAAGCTGGATCCTGGCCTTGGGTCCAGGGTGGGTGGAGACAGCGAGACCCCGGCGCAGCTGCATCGCTGGAAGTGGGTTCTGCAGTGCTGATGGTGTCGGTTGGAGTGCTTGGAGTCCTCAGCAAGCACTAGGAGCATCGATTGGCGGAGGTACTCAGTCAGAGTGCCAGCGATCCGTTACATTGGTGGCAGCGGTGGGATGGCGTCCTAGTGCGAGGTAAAGCAGCTCAGAGACACCGTTCGTGGAGTTACAATTTGAGGGCAACCCTAGCACTCGTGCAGCACCCCTGGGGGCAGAGGTATCCAGCGACTGGGAGCAGACAGGTATGGAAGGCTCTGGCTCTGAAGATGAATGGCTGGCCAAGGTGAGGCAGCGAGTGGCCCAGTATGGGGATGATGAACCCACGGAGATACGCCGGGTGATCTGGAACCAGGTTACGGCTGAGCGAAACACAAGGCTGGCCTGAGAATTCCGGCTGGCGAAAGAGAGAGAGTATGCTCAGCGGAAGGAGTGTTACAGCAGCCGAGTAGAGGCTGCATCCGAGGAGGCCAGCCGTCTCCCCCTGAGGCGGCCGGAGGAACCTGAAGTAGGGGTCCTCATAGACTGGTCCTGTGAGGAACCACAACAGGCAGGTGGAGATGGGACCGAGGTCTCTCCACTGGCCCACCAGGATGCTGGGCAGCCGGCCCAGATCCCCAGCAGCAGCCGGAGTTGCCAGGTGTGGAAGCAGGTGGTCCTTACTTGCAAATGTTGAGGGACCTCACAGACTGGTCCTGGGAAGACCCACAGATGGCAGGTTGAGATGGGATGGCGGTCTCTCTACCGGCCCTACAGGGATGCTGGGCGGTTGGCCCAGATCCCCAGCGGCAGTATGTATCACAGGGAACTGAAGGTGCTGTCCTTCCTCCCAAGCGGCAGTATGTATCACAGGGAGTCGAAGGTGCCGTCCTTCCTCCCCAGCGGCAGCGTATTTCACAAAGGGTAGACCTTATTCTCCCAGATGGGGCAGATGAGACAGTCAGTCTCGCTTCCCAGCAGCAGGACAATATATTGAAAGGGGAGACAGTCGGTCCCCCTCTCCACCAGCAGAGAGAGTGTCAGGGAGAGGAGCCTGTTACCCCCTCTCCCCAGCGGCTGAAAGTGTGTAAGGGAGAGGAGCTTGTTACCCCGGCAGTGTAGCCCACCAAGGGGAGACACTAAGCCCCCCACCAGCACAGATGGGACCGTGGTCTCTATGCCCAAGCTACAGGGAGTGCGGACTGTCGGTCCTGCTTCCCAGCGGCAGAGTATTCTACTAGGAGGGGAGAGTCTCATTCCCCCTCCCCAGTGGCAGCATAGCCCACCAAGGGGAGACACTAAGCCCCCCATCAGCGCAGATGCGACCGTGGTCTCTGTGCCCAAGCTACAGGGAGTACGGACAGTCGGTCCTGCTCCCCAGCGGCAGAGTATTCTACCAGGAGGGAAGAGTCTCATTCCCCCTCCCCAGCGGCAGCCTAGCCCACCAAGGGGAGATGATAAGCCCCACACCGGTGCAGATGGGACCGTGGTCTCTGTGCCCAAACCACAGGGTGTAGGGACAGTCGGTCCTGTCCCCTTGCAGCAGGGCTGTTTATCCAAAGGGGAGAAAGCCTGTCTTCCCCTCCAGCAGCAGCCCCAGGTCCGGAGTGAGGAGCCTACAATGCCGTTCCCTCACCTGGGCTCCAACCAGGCTACTCCCGTGGTAGCGCTGGCACCAGGGCAGAGTACCGCTGGTCTCTGCCCACCCAGCAACCCACCGATCCAGAGTGCTAGAAACCCCCAGAGCCAAGGTGGAGCTCCTGGACCTGGAAAAGCGACCCACTACTCCAGGTGTAGTAACCAATTTTCGTGGGTGGGTTATACTGCGGATTCTGTTTTGTGGGTGGCTTGCTGGACTAACCAAGGCACTGACCGACAGGAGGCCAGATACCTTGTTAGTCTTTTTGGGAAAGGGGAGAAATGTGGTGAAACCAACCTCGCCACTGGGCATTGGAGAAGCCTGTTTGCCCGCCTCCTGCCTGCTCTCTATGGCCCCTGGGAGATTTGGCCCTTTAAATACAGTATTTGGGCATATTGTATTTTATTATGCTGCTGCTGGCCCTTTAAGAACCATCTGGGGACATACTGTGGAGTTTCTGGGTGGCCACCATTTCATGTATCAGAGGCACATGGTGAGAACAATGGATGAAGCACATGGTGAGAACAATGGATGGCGGCCATTTTAACTCACAGACATTGTTTGGACTTTTCTACACGGTGCCATCTCGCCAGTATTTGGTGCATGAAGACATCGTTCAGTAGTTTTAAACTATACAACAGGGGACACATTATACAGTAATTATTTTTCATTTAGCCTGTATATGTTCTGCGGAATCTGCATTAAACTGCATCTTCCAAACTACTGAACGGATCTGGGTGAATTTTGGATATGTGGTTCACCCAGATCCCCCGGTTTTGAGGATATGGGGTTATTGCATGTTTTGGGGTCCCTGTGATATGTTTTATAATACTGTATTTCTCTGCCTGTGATAATTAGATTAACCATTGTGTTCAGTAATCATTTTACAGGCAGAGGGGAGGATTTTGTGTGGGAGTGTCTGTGTGTATTGTACGGATTGATTGGTTGTATTTCAAAACCCTGTGGGCAGTACTATGTTTGTGGATTGTGAATAAAAGAGTCTGTATGTGCCAGTACAGTCAGTTCTGCTTGACCTCAAAACGAACTGTCGTCTCGTTATTGGGGGAATTGGATTGTATGCTGATTGCCAGGAGTGTAAGCTGATTGTATGCTTTTCCTGTTCAGCTGTTTACAGCATTCATATGCTTGAGAGCATTCATATGCTTCTCCGGTTCGGTGGTTGTGGTGTCTGCTGCAGTGCTTGGAGTCCTCAGGAAGCGCTAGGAGCATCCTTCAACTGAGGTACCTAGTCGGGGTGCCAGGTGATCCATTATATCATGCTTTTATGCCTAGAGTGTCCACATCTCCAGTACATAAATGTAGAATTAAATCATAGTTGCAGTCAGGGGTCAAGTCCTGGGGAAAAAAGTGTGGGAACTCACCCAAAATCCACCCCTCACCCCCCAAAATATAGATTATACGCTCGTATGCATATATACGAGGTTAGTGTGCCAGGGCTAGGGAGGTTAGTGTGCCAGGGCTAGGAAGGTTAGTATGGTAGGGTTAGGAAGGTTAGCATATATACGAGGTTAGTGTGCCAGGGCTAGGAAGGCTAGTATGGTAGGGTTATGTAGGGTAGTATGGCAGGGTTAGGGGGGTTAGTGAGAAAGGGTTAGGGGGGTTAGTGAGATAGGGTTAGGGGTTAGAGAGACAGGGTTAGGGGGGCTAGTGAGACAGGGTTAGGGGGTTAGAGAAACAAAGTTAGGGGGTAGAGGGTTAGTGTGACAAAGTGAGGGGAAAACACACAGACTTAAAATACATTTAATATATTTTGCTTTGCCCCCTTCCTGCTTACCTTCTGTGCAGGCAGGTAATAATTAATTTCATGGTGGTCCAGCGGGTCCCTGATGGTCCAGTGTGCTGCTGGTTCGCTCCCTGGTGGTCCAGTGTGCTGCTAGTGAACTCCCTGGTGGTCCAGTGTGCTGCTGGTTCACTCCCTGGTGGTCCAGTGTGCTGCTAGTGAACTCCCTAGTGGTCCAGTGTGCTGCTGGGGCTGCCGCAAGTCCTAGCGGGTCCGGCGCACTGTAATGATGTCAGAGCGCAGGCTGGGAACCTGGCGCCTGTGTTCTGACACTCACAGTGCACCACAACTGCGATGGAGTGCAGCAGCCCCAGCAACATACTGGACCACCAGGGAGTTCACTAGCAGCACACTGACCCCCAGGGAGCAAACCAGCAGCACACTGGACCACCAGGGAGTTTGTTACAGCTGGCAGGGAGATCTTTTGATCTCCCTGCTGGCTCAAGGAAGGGGGCTCGATCAGACCCTGCAGGACTCGAGCCCTTGTTGCAGTAGCAAAAAGAATGTGGGTCATGAAAAAGCAATGAATACGTAGAAAGGCGCACTTATTACTACCCTCCCCTGCCATAAATACCATCTTCCTCATCTTTACCTGTGCTGTAAGGTGTGGCCTGGGTTCTGCAAAGCAGTAGAGAGGGCTCTCAACCCTATTATGCAGATTATAAAAAGATGGTATTGGACATCATGTTAGATTTATCCTTATTCTCTCACCCGGGAGCACTGATAAAACAGATTTTGGGTAGTGTTGAGTCTTCAGGTGTCTTGAAACATGGTATTGTCTGCACTTACCTCTATTGTCACTGACGAATATATTGTTAAGCCTGAATACCATAGAGATTTCTATTATAACAATAGGAAATTATCGAATCGTATATTATTATTTTTATTGCCATTTATATAGCGCCAACAGATTCCGTAGCGCTTTACAACATTATTAGAGGGGGGATTTAACTATAAATAGGACAATTACAAGAAAACTTACAGGAACGATAGGTTGAAGAGGGCCCTACTCAAACGAGCTTAAAGTCTATAGGAGGTGAGGTGTAAAACACAATAGGACAGGGAATATCAATCAAAATAGGTAGTAGTGAAGCAGAGCTGGAGGAGAGAGTGCTGCCCTATATATTTCCTTTGCATCCAGCGTGATTTTGTATCATACATTAAATTACCCACAATGCTGATATTGCAAGGGACACATACTTCTTGGCTGTAATCAGTAGAGTGCGGATAGCAGTCAGTGTTCTTTCACTGAATCCAAATGCAATCCCGAAGCATTTATATAATCTGCCCATTCTCAATATCAATCCCCTGCTCGCATCAACAGTGCTTTCCCCCTAGAGGTGTCTACATCATTCCTGCTGATTTGCTGATCCTAGGGATGCTACTAATGTTTCCAGAAGTCCCCAATGTAGAGAGAAAAAAGATGGTTCTGATAACAATGCTAATATTGGTGGTCCAATTGGTAGCCATATTTATTTTAGCAGAAAGTTGTTATTGAGAGCTGTCATTGATTGGTTCTCACACAAACATTGTAATGTGTATAGAACAGAGAATAATTCCCTATAAAATAAAAAAATACTGTCACTTGAAAACATCAAGGTGGTAGACACAGTAGAAAATGCTTAATTGGTATAATGTTGCTTATCAGATAAAGAGCCTGGTGCTTTCATGCCAGTGCTGGACTGATCCTAAACAAAACATATGTAGTACACCAATATTTCCATTGAAGACAGCACACGGTAGTAGCTCCAAAATAATGCTTTAGTTAAATAATGAAAAAGTGCACAATTTATTAAAAAATAGATAGTGAAAAAATTTAACAAAAATGGCAACAACTAGTAGCCCACCAAATAAGATGTTACCTCCAATATGTGCATCAAAAGCAAGTGTGCAACTCACGTGCACATTAAAATCGGTGGAAATGAAACACCCTGCATTCAAAAGGAAAAAATAATAAATAAATAAAAAAGAGGGGAGCAGGATAAGGCAAAAGGCAGCTGGAGATAGCAAAATGTAATAGGAGGGAGAAATAAAAGAGACACTGAAGAGGGTCCCAGCAAACCTTCAAGGAGGTCCTGGGCGAGATTCGTGCCTGTCTTGGCACTTTCTTAGAACGGACCTCGGATGAAAAGACATCTTATTAGGTGGGCTACTAGTTGTTACCATTTTTGTTGGTATGAAGTGTGTTAGTATAAAGTGTTTTTGACTTAGAACCACTGTCATTGTCAAAGTAGATTCTTCTGCAAAACCAGAAGCATGGGCTTTGGCCCATGACCATCCGGCATGACCCAGTGGTTAAGGTTGCATTAAGCTTTAACTCTAACGTTGGTACACCCAGTGCCCAACATCTCTTCCTCCTCTAGTATAAAAATATTATTTCTCTAAATCAGCGAGAGGCATGGGGGTGCAACTTAAGAGTTAAACTATCAGAAAACCTTTTAACCCCAGAAGATAAGATGGTATGAAGGGTATCAAACTGCATACCTATAGGAATCTCTGCGCTGGAAACAGACAAAGAGACAATGTGCCATGTTTACTAAACAGTGCTAAGTCACAAGCGACACACAATAAAGACATTATATCTCATTAGCTGAAGCATGACCTGTTTGTTGTTTATCAAAAATTTGCATCTGACCCTTAAAAATCAGACAGCTTTCAACAGAGACACCCAAAGTGAGGCTTTTAGATCCCTCTTTTTAAATCACATTTTAAACTATGAACAGTTTATACCCTGATGTCATTAACAGACAAAACAATATTTAACAATAAAACTCTTCACAATTTAGGCAATACTCAAGATTGCCTTTGTCTTGACAAAATAGATTTTCCGTCTTTCTTTTCTATTAAATAAGAAGATATTAGAATATATATATATATATATATATATATATATATATATTTATATAAAATTTATTTATAAATTAAAATGATGGCTATGTTTGGATTGTGTGGTTATATGTCCATTCACAAGTGGTATAGTTCTTGTAAACTTGCACAGAAATGTCCTTAGCTGGAGAAGATGCAGGACCTCTCGGTACACTCATGGTTGCCTAGAAAGCAATATTTGTTAATGGTTGTGGGAGGCAAGTGGATATAATATTAACTTTGTCCAATTTCCTCTTCCCTGCCTAGGGGCTACCTACCCACAATATATATATTTTTTCCTTTCTTTTTAAATGGGGATTATGTTTGAGGAGTTCATCGGTCCGTGACATTTTTGAGAATAAAATGGAGTGAATTCACATGAATGAAAGTTCTTGTTGTTCCTGGTCAACAATGACTGAAGCTGTCCCTTTTAAACAGGAAACAAACAGTCTGTTCATTCTTCACTGGTCTCAGTTTTCTGCGTTTTCTTTTGTATTTACGAATAAGGGTGACAGTAAGTAACAGAACCGAAGTGAAAAAAAGGCAAAAACTGAAAAATACTAATGGCTTCTTCTGTTCTATGAACCTACACAAATGACATTGGCTTTCTTCATTGCTGATTCTGCATTGGTTATCCGACCGATCCAATGGAAAACCATTTGCTTCCACCATGGCGCTGAACACATCCACTGAAGACTTGGCTTTCAAGTTGTACATGGCAGAGTTATAGAATCCATATTGTGGCTTTGTTTTATCGGTCAGCTTAAATGCATAGTATCCTCGTACATTGATTTTATCCTGTTGATGGGCTAGGAAAGAAAAATAGAGAGAAATTGTGAGATATATCGAATTACAGAACTAATCTGTGTTAAAAGAAAAACCATAGTATGCAAGTTAGATCAATGAATTATCTAATGAATATTATTATATTGTATGAATTTATTAATAGAGACCGGGGTGAATACAAAAGTTTTATGGCCCCCTTACAAATCCTGCAGTGGCTATGGTGCATGGAGTGTTCCTTATAATATAGTTTCATATTTAGAGAATCACTTTTCATATAGCTTAATACCTGCAGGAAAAGAAATACATGCTTATATAATAATATGGAGCCTCAAAGCTGTGTACGAGGACTGATGATGGCTGGGTAAATATCAGAACAAAACTCTACAGGACTAAGGAAATCCCGGACCTGGAAAAATACCCTAGCAGGATGTGCTGTTCCATTTTATCTATTTGTACCTTAAATTTAACATTTAACACCAATTACTAAATAATGTTGTCCACCACATAGGTTGCTTCATTTTTTTGGGCACTCCATTTACATTTCTTTGGCTTCTGACCCTGGTCCAGTTTAGTTTATGACCTTTTCGTTTAGACATTGTTTGCTTTTATCTACACTTGAACTGCATGCATAGTTGCATACCAATCTGTATGTACCTATATGTGCACACCTGTTGGATACCAATCTGTATGTACCTATATTAGTATATCTGTCGGATAGCATTCTGTATGTACCTATATTAGTATATCTGTCGGATACCAATCTGTATGTACCTATATTAGTATATCTGTCGGATACCAATCTGTATGTACCTATATTAGTATATCTGTCGGATACCAATCTGTATGTACCTATATTAGTTTATCTGTCAGATACCAATCTGTATGTACCTATATTAGTATATCTGTCGGATACATTCTGTATGTACCTATATTAGTATATCTGTCGGATAGCATTCTGTATGTACCTATATTAGTATATCTGTCGGATACCAATCTGTATGTACCTATATTAGTATATCTGTCGGATACCAATCTGTATGTACCTATATTAGTATATCTGTCGGATACCAATCTGTATGTACCTTTATTAGTATATCTGTCAGATACCAATCTGTATGTACCTTTATTAGTATATCTGTCAGATACCAATCTGTATGTACCTTTATTAGTATATCTGTCAGATACCAATCTGTATGTACCTATATTAGTTTATCTGTCAGATACCAATCTGTATGTACCTATATTAGTATATCTGTCGGATACCAATCTGTATGTACCTATATTAGTTTATCTGTCAGATACCAATCTGTATGTACCTATATTAGTATATCTGTCGGATACATTCTGTATGTACCTATATTAGTATATCTGTCGGATAGTATTCTGTATGTACCTATATTAGTATATCTGTCGGATACCAATCTGTATGTACCTATATTAGTATATCTGTCGGATACCAATCTGTATGTACCTATATTAGTATATCTGTCGGATACCAATCTGTATGTACCTTTATTAGTATATCTGTCAGATACCAATCTGTATGTACCTTTATTAGTATATCTGTCAGATACCAATCTGTATGTACCTTTATTAGTATATCTGTCAGATACCAATCTGTATGTACCTATATTAGTTTATCTGTCAGATACCAATCTGTATGTACCTATATTAGTATATCTGTCGGATAGCATTCTGTATGTACCTATATTAGTATATCTGTCAGATAGCATTCTGTATGTACCTATATTAGTATATCTGTCGGATACATTCTGTATGTACCTATATTAGTATATCTGTCGGATACCAATCTGTATGTACCTATATTAGTATATCTGTCGGATACCAATCTGTATGTACCTATATTAGTATATCTGTCAGATAGCATTCTGTATGTACCTATATTAGTATATCTGTCGGATACATTCTGTATGTACCTATATTAGTTTATCTGTCAGATACAGACAGACTATCATTGAAATAGAAAGTAGGTCAGTGTATATGTTATGGAATGTCCCAGTGTGTGGGATTTCTCCTAGATTAGAAACACTTCTTGGATCCTCCATTACTTCCTACTGGACAGACAATCACATACAGTTATTAGAGACACTATTGCTGACCTTATACATGCTGATAGGCTGACAGACACAACTGCAGTCCATCTAACAAACACTAAATGGCCCTCTCACTTCTACAGACATCTCACAGACATACATACAAACCCTCTGGCATCCACAGACATTCTCACAAACAGACATATAAACAAGATCTTTCTCAGCGGGATGTGCAGAAAACAAGTCTTCCTCAGGGAGCTGTAATCCCTGGTGTCTATCAGAGAAGCAGGGTAAATGTGTATAGCTGCATATACGTTTTTCTTGCCTCCTCTCTCAACATACACTCACTCATACCTCCCAAGTGTCCCTATTTAGGAGTGTCAGTCCCTGTTTTGGACCCAAATCCCTCTCCCTCTTTTCTATCCTTATATCCCTCTTTTCTATGAGCTCTATATTGTTGGTGTGTCTGTGTGTATAACAGAGCTACACAGCCACAATACTCCCAGCAATGTATTTAAATCAATCACAGTAAAGAAGATAACCATGTTTATAAGCGGCCATTCACACCATGGAGGGCACATATGCTTTATTATAAGCTGTACTGTCACAAAGAACAGCTACACTTTCTGCAAATTGCCACCACAATTCCTGGGCATGAAGAGCAGTGAAGCCGGTGTTCCATTAAAATCCCCTACCTAGTGAAACCCCCCTACCCTCCACAGGTAGGGAAATTTGATAGAACAATCTGTGTGTATTTTGTGTCTAGTACCTGCACAATGTAGTAAATGCACAATGTACATACAGTGACAGATATTTCAAATCAACATTCTGGTACACGTTGTCACAGGCTAGTCAACCAGCTCTGGACTCTGTATTATAGCAGTGTGAGCTGCCAAACTGATAACAAATGTTTGTGCAGGAATGATGCTTTTAAGAAATGCGGATATTGGAAATATGCCCGTACCAGAGAGTGCAAATTCTAAACCCGAGCTCTATCAGCCAAGCCCTTGTGACAATTATTCAGCATATAGATACATTTTAAAGGAACACTGTAGCGTCAGGAATATATATCTGTATTCCTAACGCTACAGTACTGATCTAATTATTAAGTTCATGGCTTCCTAGGATTCTCTAAGGCAGACCATGAGCTCTAATACCCAGAAGGCTTTAAGGTATAGCTTGAAGCCATGCTTCCAAGTCTTCTAATTAGTGGAATAAAGAGGTTTAGAGGGTGTGACAGGCAGTACTTCGGTCACTATAACACTTCAATAAGATTAAGTTGTTGAAAGTGCCTACAGTTTTCTTTTAAGTAATTTATTGTCACTGATCATTATTGATTTATCCAATATCTCTATTTATTTACTTGGCTGTCCGTATGCACTATATGAACCCATAGATAGAGATTTTATTTTCTATTTTAATCTGATTTGTAAGAGGGGGTACCTAGGTAGGAATGCCCTGCTTGTCAATTAAAAAAGATACATTTAAAAAAAAGTTACCGTAGCCCTTTAAAGTTCATATATACAAATTACTTTAAAAAACGAACTTTAAAAAGTTACTGTAACCTTTTTAAAATGTATCTTTTTTTAAATTGACAAGTATTTAGGGTATTCCTAACTGGGTACCCCATCTTCCCTTTAGAAACTTAAAAACGCTTTAAAACTTACCTCAGCTCCCCGTGTTGATCTCCACTCCCCTCTGAAATCATCAAGGGACTTGCGTTGTCCAATCATAGAGGGCTGGGAGAGAGTGGTGAAGGGGAGAGGGGAGGGATATGTATATGTTCTGTTTCGGCCCAATTGCCTGCCTGATTTCAGGTCAATGGGCCAAAATGTGGCATGTGTATCTGTGACCTTGTTTCCCAAATAAACCACTATATAAGCCCATGATTTCTTTTATATAAACGCAGTTTAGTGTTAATATAGAAATAGGTTACAAATTCCAAAATCATCATGGGACAAACCGGCAATCAGATATTCCTTAGTTTTAGATAAAGTTGTATTGTTATTGTACACTTATCATCACTTACCTAGTAATATTTGTCTAGTGTATCGCTGTAAATAATATATTCTCAGGTCATCATTGCTGGAAGATTTGTCATCAATTCCATTTGCTGTTATATAAATCGGAATGTTTCCGTACTCTAGCTTCACCCAGTTTAAGAGTTTCCGTACTCCGGAAGGAACAACTGTCAAGCCACTTGCTGAACTGAGAGATGTGGCATCAGCGAGGAAGTGAATATCTCGATCAAAATCATGTCTACTCCCATTCTTTGGCTCATGAATAACGAGCCTGGTGGTGAAATGGTTCAGGGCAAAGAAATCAGCTGATCCTCTAACAAGTCTTTTCTCTTCTTCTGTGAAATGGGGCAAATAGGAGTTGGAGAGACCTTTTTTATTCTTGGCTAGAATGTACTGCCTCATACGGACTGGATAATCACCGGAACCGAAAATTGGCTCAGCAAGCCAAGCAATATCAAACTGTAAGAATCTCTCCGCTGCTTCAGCATGAGACCTTAGAAAAGGGTTAGCAGGTTCAGCCCAGTCTGTATGTAGAGCCAAGGAGACCAGGCCATGCTGAGTTGGCCTATATTTCTGGTCATACAACCGCCATGCCATTGAATGAGCTATCAGGACGTTATGGACTGATTGATAAGTAATATTACTGCTGTTATTATAATACTGGCTCAGCCTGTTGGGTTCATTAATGGTGACCCAATGCTTTACCAAGTCACCCAGTTCATCAAAACACAAACTTGCATATTCACTGAAAGCCCGAGTGATAGTTCTGTTTAGCCAACCCCCATTTTCTACCAATGGCCCTGGAAGGCTTAAAGACCCGTGAGTTGGATAGTAAAGGGTTATCATGGTCTTTATTCCATGAAGATCTGCCTCCTCTACCATGCATCGATAATACCGCAGAACTTCCCGGTTAATAACAGATAGGTCTCCTTTTGGTAGAATCAAGGACCAATTGAGTGCGAATCTGTAGTCAGTGACTTTCATCCTTGTCAGTAGGGACAGCTGTTTCTTGATAGTGATAAAATCGGTACATTGGGCAGGACGAGTCTTAAGTACAACTCCTTTCACAGCATGTAGAATCCCATCTCCGGTGACATTCCACACGTACAAACGGCGGTCGATAAATTGTGGCGATGATGGGATTAGCTCCGGCTGTGGAAACAAACAATTTTTAAAACCCTTTATAAGTATTTATTTATCATGCTATACAGTTAGCTAAAGTAAAACATAATGCTACAATGCTCTCAGGCAAGAGTTGAGCAAGCACATTGATGACCTTTAACTCACATTACTACTTGGCGAAGGAAGATGGTAGGTCAGAACAATCTTATTGAGAGGCAGCGGAAGCTGGTGAAACCAAAAGATGATGGGGCACTGCTCACCCCCTCCCCAACCCACTGAGCTCTAGTCATTAAACCCTAAGAAATGCTACGCTCATTTCAAATCATCCGTAAAGGGAAGAATGGAAACTGCAGACATAGTCAAGACTTATCAGTATTCCTTAAAATGCATATAGATTTTACTTTTTTTTCTTTTAGCAACAGAAACTGTGGGGGATCCCACCCCAACCCACCTGCATCTACAGATCAATCTTTACTAGTTATCTGACCTAAGGTTAGGGAAAACCTGACGTTAAGATCCTGTGGATTGTAACTCTCATGGTTCTTAGGCAGGCTAAGTCCCCTAACCTTACACCACCCCATAAACCTATGTTCCATTAAACGTGCAGTATAGGATATACTGCTGTACCCTGTCTATCCATTTTAAAACGACTTTTTTTGTCAGTAGATTGACTTTTGTCAAATGACTGAAAAGTTGTTATTGCATTGCTATATTTATTTAAAGAAACACTCCGAGCACCATAATTACTGCATCCTGCTGCAGAAGTTATGGCACCAGTACACAAACCATTTTAGCACAGTTTCAAGATTACTTGGGTCCTCACTGGGCAACCACACACTTTTTCTGGTCACCTTGAGCTTCGGAAGCTGGGTGTCAATATGGTGCAAGTCAGGAACCCATTCGTTGGTTGGAAGTATCAGATAAGCATTCTTATCCAATGAATGGGTTCCTATCTTGCACAAAACTGACATCCAGCTTCTACAATTCAAGACCAGAGGCAGCACAAGTAATCGTTGATGTAAAACACTTTGGCAGGTTATGGTACCAGGGTGCCTCAGCAGACTGTAATTGTCATGAGGTTTCAAACTTTAAAAAAATTGTGTATAAGTTCTTCTGAATTCCAACTCCTGATCAACAAGGTACCAGGCAGAAATTCTGCAGGAATGAAAGATGACCAAAGGAAAGATTTTATTTTCCCAAAGATTTCAAATGAAATCTTAAGACAATGTAATGAGCTTAGACTTACAGGGTTATTTACTAAAGCCCAAGTGGCTCCCTATTGAATATATCTAGTGCTTTACAGGGCCATTCAGAGACTGCACAATCTGGACACTGTTCACACTATTTTACAATGTCTGGATTTTGCAATGCTCATTTCAAATAAGCCTGAACCTGGTCCAGATTTTTGCCAAGCTGCCAGACAACTGAAATCCGGACCAGGATTGTGAAAGCATCTGGATGCTTCAAATCCAGGTCTGAATTTTAGAAATCTGAACTATATGCACACTAACAGCACTGACAACCAGGAGTCATATAGTTAAATAAAAATCATGTGATGTTGGCCAGCATTTTCTCGGCAGCTGCTGCATTAAAAAAGTGATATTAAAAAAACAAGCCTCAGGGGGGTCAATATGACCCTAATATTACAATAAGGGATATCCCACCCCCACTCAGTGGCTATGAATCCGTAAGCACATAGCTACTCTCCAAATACATAAGCTGCCCTACCTACCCCCTCACCATATGGTTTCTTCAAAGAAGAAAATATATGCAAAAAATAGCTTTAACCCCTTAAGGACCAAACTTCTGGAATTAAAGGGAATCATGACATGTAACACATGGCATGTGTCCTTAAAGGAACACTATAGTCACCTAAATTACTTTAGCTAAATAAAGCAGTTTTAGTGTATAGATCATTCCCCTGCAATTTCACTGCTCAATTCACTGTCATTTAGGAGTTAAATCACTTTGTTTCTGTTTATGCAGCCCTAGCCACACCTCCCCTGGCTATGATTGACAGAGCCTGCATGAAAAAAAAAACTGGTTTCACTTTCAAACAGATGTAATTTACCTTAAATAATTGTATCTCAATCTCTAAATTGAACTTTAATCACATACAGGAGGCTCTTGCAGGGTCTAGCAAGATAGTAACAGCAGGGGATAAGAAAATCTTAATTAAACAGAACTTGCAATAAAGAAAGCCTAAACGGGTCTCTCTTTACAGGAAGTGTTTATATGGAAGGCTGTGCAAGTCACATGCAGGGAGGTGTGACTAGGGTTCATAAACAAAGGGATTTAACTCCTAAATGGTAGAGAATTGAGCAGTGAGGCTGCAGGGGCATGCTCTATACACCAAAACTGCTTCATTACGCTAAAGTTGTTCAGGTGACTATAGTGTCCCTTTAAGGGGTTAATGTCGCTGTAATATTAAAAAGACTTTTTGAAGCATGTGCTGCAGCAACACTAAGAATAAAATAATTACACAGGGATTTTAATAATAAATCCATTAACACAGAAAGGAAAGATCTCCCTCAAGGACATTTAGTGACATAGTAGAGAGCTGATAGCTAATCTGTGCATTTTCCTTTAACATGTCCTGGGGATGTTATGTTCACTGCAGTTTGAGAATAGAATGGCAAATGTGTAACTATGTGAACCTATCCCTAAAAAAAGGTAATTTAAATACAATCACACTGGTTAATCTTGTACTCAGCTCATCAATATATTTTAAATGCTTGTCATTTCCAAATCCTCATCTAACATATTTTTTTTATTTCTTTGTCTCTATTGTCTGTGAGTAGATGCTATTAAACATTAACAATGTGTTTCTACATGCCAGAATTGTGTTTTTTCTGACTTTCTGGGTTCACTTGATAAACAAGATGAAGGAGAATATTTAGGTTAATACATACAAGAAAGCCACATATACACACTTCAAAGGCATTACTTTAGCCCAAAGTTTACTAAAGTTTTGAATTACATTTTTTTACCAAAAAAATGCTTAACATGATAAAACCAAATGATGCATTCTGAATAATTAACAAAGGAAATGTAAATTGTATGGCAAAATAAAAATGAGGGGGGGAAAGCCAAATTAGAAAATATTTTTGATATAACTATAAGGAGATAAAATTTGCAATTTTCTGCAATTCCTGATTTGGTCAATAAAATCCAAACTAGAGACCGCTTTTCGGCCTCTGTACAAGGAAAATAAAGATTGAGTTTCAAATATGAAAGCCATCAAAAGCAATCTATACTTCAAATGTACCCAAAGCCAAAGTACAAACTGAACAAATAATTTTAAAAATCGCCTTTAATTTGGCTAACACAAGTGAACAAAGATGTCTTATTTTTTTAGGTTTGTCTACGGTTAATGCCTTTACTAATCTTTATTGAACATCTGACAATGGGAGAGAAATACAGGGTTAGAGTAAATAGTATATACAAATAGTGCACTCTGGGCTAAAAAACAGAAAGCAAACACTAAATATTGATTTTAACTTGGCTAGTTTAGTTAAAGAAAACTAGTTATGGCCTCAAGTTTGTTTATTTTTTTTACTGGTAAGTAACTAAAGCTGTGGTAAATTGGTAGTTTAATTAGTACTCTGCATTCAAGGGGTCTTTAACAAATATCTATATATCCATAGAGATTGCTTCTAGTTACTTTGGTCAGGTGAATGCAGTCTTGTGTGTCTGACACTATTGAATAAAATGACTGTTGTGGCTAGGCCATACTGGGGATTAAGTATAGCCAGAAATAATTTGGTAAAACATTTAGAATGACTAATAATAGATTTGCAAAACTTATTGACTCTTAGTAAACGTTTGGACAGGCTGTGCCTTGACATTAGTTATTCAACTCTAAATATCGCCCGTTATAAGGAGCATAGCATTTTTTTTTTTTTTTTAATGTCTGAAGAATTTAATTTTGATCCCTACTGTAAATGCTAAATAAGATAAATCGTTTGTCCTATCCTGTTTTGTTCCATTTATGTTGCATCATGAATGTACTTACCTTAAGCACAGAATCTGTTACGCCCCATGAGAAGTCACACGGGAACTGTCCATATACAGCAGGCGTGGTGTCCGTCTGAGGAAAACCATTATCATGTATGATTTGCTTATAATACAATGCTGACGATTTAGGTATTATTTTTGTATCCTTGTAGTTAAAATCTAAGTAAAACAATCCACGTCTTATTTTGTATCCATCTTGCCATTCAAAGCCATCAAACAGAGACCAGGCAGTATAACCAAACACTTGTATCTCGTCATGTTTAATAGCTGCAAGAAAATAAATATATATATAAGGTTTAGATAGCGCTACAGCAAATTGACTGCAATAAACCGGCAATAGAGAGCTTGCTCTGCAAACTGAGTAATACTACTTTTATACATGAATTATATGATATTAACGCAGTAGTTCGATGCATAATCATATTCAATGTTTGTCCTACAAAGCCACGTAATACAGAAACATAGAAAAATATAATCTGGATTTTTTACATCAGTGCAGAACATAGAGTTGTCTTGTGGCTCAGATGAACAGGTCAGTTACTCTGGAGGTGCTGTAACTGAGGGAAAAAAGCTTAAAGGTACACTACAGACACCCAGACCACTTCTGCCCATTGGAGTGGTCTGGGTGCCAACTCCCACTACCCTTAACCATGCAAGTGTAATTACTGCAGTTTTCATAAACTGCAACATTTACATTGCAGGGTTAAGTCCTCCTTTAGTGGCTGCCTACTAGACAGCCACTAGAGGACACTTCCGTGTTCATAGAACACAAAACGATGCGGTTTAAAACGATGCTGGACATCCTCACGCTATGTGAGGACCTCCAGCGTCGCCGAAATCCCCATAGGAAAGCATTGAAAGCATTATTCAATGCTTTCCTATGGAGAGGTCTAATGCGCGTGTGTGGCCATTGGCGCGCATGCGCTTTAGGTCTCTCCCGCCGACGGCCGCGCATGCGCAGTAGGTCTCCCTGCAGTCTGACGTCGGCGAGGGAGGAGCTTTGGCGGAAAAACGAGCCACAGAACTAATTTATACTCAGTCTACCCATCAATCCATCCACTCACCTATCTGTACAACTAAAAAATCTTAGTTCACCTGTCTGTCACTAGTTCATTAATTTTTGGAATGGAATTCAGATACCTTGCAGGATGTCATTGACAAACTTCTTCATGATGTATATGGAGGTGGTATCTTCCGTTTTGATGTTGCTGTTGGAGAACCAGCCATTTTCCATGATCATAATTCTGGGGTTGTCATATTCCATTTTAATCCAATTTAGCACACCTCTCAAATGAATTAAAACCTTGCCCAATTTGGCAGCCTCATACAGGCGCTTAAAATTATTGGGGCCAAAGGAAAATGCAAAGAAATCTGATGTCCCCTTTATGTAAGTCTTTTCTGCATCAGTAAAGTTGGGTAATGTAGAGCTATATTTATTCTTCAGGATGTCAGGGTAATCTCCGTCACTGTAAATGGGTTTTGCAAAACGTCCAAGTACAGTTTCCATGGATTCCTGGCACATCTCAATGGTTGCAGGGCTAATATTTCCTTTCTCTGGTTCTAGCCAGTGAGAGCCCAAAGTCACCGACAGGTAGCCTTTTTGCGATGTACGGAAGTATGTGTTGTATGTGTGCCAAACCATAGCATGAGCCTGCGTGAACAAACAAATAAAAATGTTTGTTAGTTAAAAATATAAAAACTACAAATATAATAACATTACCAATGATGTATTTTTACAGAATTATTAATTGTTTAAATACTGTAAATAGCACTAAATTCTAATTATTAGAAACATAAACTGATTATTCATGTGCCCTTGAGTCATTGGCAACAGCAAAGTACCAGGGTTACATCTAAATACAGGAGTTACAATATTCTTGTCTGTTAGTGTCACTTTAAGATTCCACAAAAACACAATCACATCCCATGACTAATAAACCAGATTAACTAACGTGCTTATAATTAGAAAAGGCTTAGAGAAGTGCTGCTGTGCAGTTCTAATAGCTGGAAAAAAAAGTCAATTAAGTGATACTGTTTTTCTAATAAACAAAAGCCATATGCTAACTTTATAATACATTCCCTGATTTTACTTGTACTGTTAATTATGATTTTAATTATATTAATTAAGCAATGTAAACACATTACATTGATGGACCTCCTCTTGAGCCTGTCAGCGATAACATATGATATTGCTATTATTTAGCAATAATAATGATGTCACCCATTGTATTAACCCATTGTATTGCAGAAACATAGTGTGTATTGTAACACTTAAATTAGCATTTTAAGCATTATTCCCTATACTGTTTGCTTTAGTGGTTATGGTTCCTGGAGTCATCTTTTGCCATCTCACTATTAAGAGTCAAACAATTTGGGCACTCACAGTACTTCCAGTGTTCAATAAAATCACTTAAAGGATCACTAGAGTGTCAGGAAAACAAAGCGGTTTTCCTGACACTATAGTGCCCTGAGGGTGCCCCCACCCTCAGGGTCCCCCTCCCGTGGCGCCGAAGGGGTTAAAACCCCTTCAGCCACTTACCTTAATCCAAGGCTGGGCTCCTTCGGCGCTGGTGACCTCTCCTCCCCCGCCGACGTCAGCTCCCCCATCCGACATCACTGGAGCCGAATGCGCATGCGTGGCAAGTGCCGCGCGCGCATTCAAAGTTTCCATAGGAAAGCATTTCTTAAATTCGCCTCCAGCGTCACAGATGGATTAACCCCAAATGTAAACATAGCAGTTTCTCTGAAACTGTTATGTTTACATGAGGAGGGTTAAAACCTGAGGGACCTGGCACCCAGACCACTTCATTGAGCTGAAGTGGTCTGGGTGGCTATAGTGTCCCTTTAAGGTGACACTCCCATTACGCTTTAGCAGTATCAATTTTGTTTCTATTTAAACTTCATTGATCATTCTCTCTGCAATGAAGTAGAATGGAGGGATGGCTCTATTAGTGGGCTCCCATTGAGAAAAATGGCGCAAACTTTATTTCAGTGAACACTTTGACTCTAAGACTTTCAGACAGATCAGAGTGGAACGGAAGCCTGGAGACATGAGAGATTAAAGGACAACTGTCCCCTCAAAACTATTTTTTACATGAAAATCCTTTCATCAAGTTTTTTTTAATGAAGTATTAGTAAAAAAAAAAATAATGAGAAAGGCCTTTCTCTACCTTCAGTATATGACAGGATCCTTCAGCCATATACATACACCTCGTGTCAGTGTTTGAAAACCAACAGACAGTCTCTAAGGTCTTTCCTATGTCTGTGCAGGGAGTGAAGCAGGGGAGACAATAGAGTTGGTTTTCAAACCCCGTCTGACCCAAGGTGTATGTATATGGCGGAAGGATCGTGTCATATACTAAAGTAGGTATGAGTTTTTTACATATTCTTCATTTAAAAAAAGAAAAATGAAAAAATTGATCAAAGGAATATTATACAAAAAAATTGTTTTTCTGTAGGGGTACTCCTGTTAAATATTGTAAAGCGCTACGGAATCTGTTATATAAATGGCAATAATAATAATAATAAGAAGAAAAAATAAAACCCTATACAGATGTGCTGTAGCATTTTAAGGGTGTACCAATAGCAATATACCCTTAGAATAATGATACAAATTATAACGGTGATGATACAAAAATGACTTGATGTCTTGCGCAGAAATTTCCTCAGTGTCAAATAAACATAGGGGACAAAAAAGAAAGAGAGTCTCATAAAATAATAGATTTGCCCTATGAAGCTTCTTTAAAAAATTTCTCACAAATGTTTGTCTGTGACTGAGCACATTTCTAGACAATGGTCAAGTCATTTCTATATCCTCAATGCTATATTTTGTACGATGATTATATGTGTGTTTTCATAGTATATGTTGTTGTTGATGGCGCATGCTATTCGTTTTATGTAATTATTAAACATTATGTTTATATTTACTGTTGCTACCTTGAGGCCTATTCATAGATTTTCAGAGCTTGATGCACATTTATATCTACAGTTCAGAATTAGCTCTCAAAATACTGTAGACTCAAAAATTTTGTGGACTATTCTATCCCATCAGCTGTAGTAGGAATACATAATTGCAAAGCATCATGGGAGTTGCATTTTTGACTAATGACTTCCTATTCTCTTTAAATGTCACCCTCCATCATTATTTTTCAAAATATCACATAATACTTTGGGACCTTATATATAACCAGGGTATGAAGGTATGAGTACACAAATTAAAATATGTAAATTTAATAAATATTTAAACATTAATATAATTGGAAACATTATATATATATATATACAGGTATAATGGCACTCACCCTTTCAGTCAGTCTAATGTTAGAATAGGTGCCTTGGTGCAATCCCACGCTGGAAGTATATAGACCAGGCTTCCCCAAACTCCGGCCCTCCAGATGTTGCTGAACTACAACTCCCATGATTCTATGAATGAAATAGATAGGCTAAGAATCATGGGAGTTGTAACTGAGCAACATCTGGAGGGCCGGAGTTTGGGGAAGCCTGATATAGAGTATATTGAAATAGAGATGTACTCTGCGGTCTTTGAAAAATGAAATGGTATTTTAATTCATCAAATAGTTTACATCCCTCTGATCATTGATGGATGTAAACTATTTGATGAATTAAAATACCATTTCATTTTTCAAAGACCGCAGAGTGCATCTTTATTTCAATATATATATATATATGTGTGTATATATGTGTGTATATATATATATATATATTTATATATATATATATTAACTAGCAGTACTTTGTATGCCTAGAGCAAGTTCAAAGTCTGTTTCTGAAGCCTTGCTCACTCAACCAAGTTCTCATCATGTTTGGAGAGTAGAGAATAAAAAGGATTTGAATCAGTGCAACATATGGGGGGGGTAATCCAGCTAATTTTGCTTTGTGAGTGGACGCACGTTTAATAAGGTTAAGTAAATGTTAGACAGATTTTTTTTCCATTCAGTTATACTGCCTCGTGTTTAATGAGTTTTTTTTATTGACGCAAAGTGTTTACTTTATATAAAAAAGACATTCAGGATCAATAAGGTACGTTGTGATTTCACACGTGGGACACTGCTGGTACAGATGGCATTTCCCTTTGTATAAATTGTAAGATCGTAAATATGAGTTTGATTATTAATCTTATACTATATAAAACGCCACTATGAATATATTGATGTATAGCGTATTCATCGTTAACCAGTTAGAATTTAGAGAAGGTGTAGGATGTAATACCATCCATCCACTCATTTATCCTTCTGCCTGTCTGGTTATGCATCCATCCTCAAAATAGTTACAGGGGTAAGAGGTTAACAGACAAAATCGATCACCTGGTCCATCTTTAAGCCAGCATTAAAATTGTTTCTCTGTTCTCTGTTGGTCTTCATCCTGGGAGGTAATTGCAATTAATGCAACATCCTCATGACATTCAGGACAGAATCATGTTTTCAAGTGTTCCAGACTTGATCTATGCATAGCCAAATGTCTAGCAAATGTACAGTTCTATGCAAAATAAATTAACATAACCTCAACATATTTCTGCAAATTTGAATTCTAGTTATTATTTATTTGCTGAATTTATCTGATAGAATCAAATTAAGAAAACCATAAATGTGGCATATGTTTGGACACCTTTTTCAATTGATCCATTAGTAATTTCTTTGTAAGTTCTCAGAACCTTAATTGTCTAATTAGCTTGACTTATTAGGCATTGATCATAATCTAGCGGTAACAGCTCTAGATCCTATTTAACTATCTGACTCTTTCTGTTGTGCTTACTGACATGGGTTCCTCTAAGCAGCTGGCTGAGGGCCAGAATATAAAGATAATTGACTCCAGAGCCAGATAAAGATTGCCCAGGGCCCATGGTGGCATGCCAGATTGGGACCCTCCTCTAGAGCAATAGGTGAATGTAAGTAGAGAAGCTTCCCCACAAATCTTACCTTACTGGCTGGGCTGTTTTGACTCATTGAGAGGTACCAGCACTGCGAAGGAGATCTTTAAGTGACCGGTACCTCATAGAGGTGCAGATCACAACTCTCCCTCAAGGTAGTGAGGAGACACAAGGTCGAGCTAGGAAATCTTTTGAGCTCCCTGCCAAGTGCCTACTCAGGGAGGGCCTCCTCATAGGGAAAGCCAGAGCTCATGATCCTAGGCAGCCCCCTCATCGGTAATCCGGCTTCAATCGACTCATACAAAACAGGGAAAGGTTATATAATACATATATCCCGCTTGCAGATCCAATTTTCTTAATTCAATTCAAGTCTAGAGTACCAAGAAGAATAGACATGCTCATAAAGTGAAATAAAACCCCCATATCACTACAAAAGACCCCACAGGACGATTTATCTTATGTTGAGTAGTTATATACCGGATCATTGTAAAGAGAAATTATTTGCATGGAATCGAAAGCTTCCTTTAGATCTCATTACAAAACTCAAAGTCCAAAGTATGTAACACATCACGTAGATAAGCCAGCTGTGGTTTGATGTGTAATTGATCTCTTTGGCTACAATCAGATGTATGTTTCCAGAAAACTGAGAGGTATTTGAAGAAACAAATATCTTTCCCAATACTAAGCATGGGGGCTGATCAATTAAGCTTTGGGGTTGTGTGACTGATGTTGGCACAGGATTTATTGTAATGGTGGAGGGAAGAATGGTTCGTACTAAATATCAACAGAATGATAAAGTGCACAATAAGTGAATGGATGGTTTATATATAAACATAAAATAGCAGCAACCTTATAAGTATCAAGACTCTAAAAAAACACTCCCACTAAAACATACACTAAATAAGGTGCACTGTACACACTTCCCAAAACTGTACAGTGTAAATATGTAGGTACTATATAAAAGTGTACACACATTGAAAATGAGATTGCACTTACAAGACTTGAACATAAAATCTGCATCTGCATAAATAGGAGAAAAGAAAAAAAGCAGACAAAGTATAAAACAAATATTTAAAAAATAGAAAATGGTCACACACAAACATAGAGCAGATAGAGTCTGCTCTATACATTCAGGTTCAACTAAGAAGCACTTCAAAGCAGCCTCCAGACTGTAGTAATGAGATATATATAGAATTCACTGGAACGCTGTGCAGGTAGGTACGGATTAAATATATGCCGAGTCGATACTCTTTGCCACTTTCATAGCAGGGTCAGTTGTTGCAGTCCATAATACTTTAAAGGGATCAACGACCTCTAACCAGCATTTGTATAATAAAGTGCATATAGTGTAATGTTGTCAAAGAATCAACAATTAAAAAAAAAAAAAACAAGTGCAGTCGGCCGTTGCTATTGTACAGGCAATGTATTCCAACCTAATGGGTCATCAATTAACCATTCATTCTCCTTTTTTTTTGTCCTCTCTTGTATTCTTTCAATTGCGATGCTTTGTGATTCCTAAGTTAATTGTCTGCACTCTTTTGGTGCATCTTTGGTGCATCTCAGATGCCAGTAGGGGCTGGAGAGAGAGAGTGAGAGGGTCACAAATTGCCCACTCTCCCTCTCCCGCTTTGTTTCCCACTCTCTGGCCCTACCAGTTGTGTTCCAGTGCCTTCTACTATCTGACTTAGGATCTTAGCTCTGCCTACCTGCCTTCTGTACCTACCTGCCGTCTGTACTTACCTACTGCTGTACCTACCTGCCTTCTATACTTACCTGCCTTCTGTCTCTGTTGCTGCAGGTGGGAAGTCTTTATGGAGCACAGTTGTTCACTCCCTTTAGTGTATTACAGGCAGGGCCGCCACCAGAAATTTTGGGGCCCCTAACTCAGATCAGGGTCTGGGCCCCCTGGAGCCAGCCTCCAAATACCGCCCACAGGAATACACACACAGACACAAACACACACACTGATACAAAAGGACACAGATACATACTAACAGACACACACAGGGCTGCCACCAGAAATTATGGGGCCCCTAACTCAGCTCAGGGTCTGGGCCCCCTGGGGCCTGCCTCCAAATACCGCCCACTGGGTCCGCCTCCAAATACCGCTCACAGGCATACACACACAGACACAAACACACACACTGATACAAAAGGACACAGATACATACTAGCAGACACACATACTGAAACAGACATACACGCATACAGGCATACATACTGACACACACATACTGAGACATACACACAGGCATACATAGTGACAGACAGACACATACTAACATACATACAGACACACATGCATGATGACATAAAGACACATACATACAGACACCGACATACATACATACACACACACATACATACATACACACATACATTCATCCATACAGACATACTGACAGACATACAGACACTGACATCCATACACACATACATTCATAATGGCATACAGACATACACAGACATACATTCATAATGGCAAACACACATACATACATACATACATACATTCAGACTGACATACATGCATATATACAGACATACTGACAGACATACATGCATACAGACATCCATACACATATACGTTCATAATGACATGCAGACATACATTCATACTGACATACAGACATACATATAAACATATATAATGACATATAGACATACATATATACATACATAGACATACATACAGACAGACATACATCCATACAGACATACATACATACATACATAGACATATATGCATGCATAATGACATACATACATACACAGACACACATACATACAGACATACATACATACATAGACATACATGCATGCAGACAGACAGACATACATACATAGACATACACAGACAGACATACATACATATACATACAGACATACATACAGACATACATACAGACAGACATACATACATAGACATACATAGACAGACATACATACATAGACATACATGCAAGCAGACAGACAGACATACATAGACATACACACAGACATACATACATACAGACATACACACATACATGCATGCATACAGACAGACATACATATACATACAGACATACATACATATAGACATACATACATACATACAGACATACATACAAGCAGACAGACAGACATACATAGACATACACACAGACATACATACATACATACAGACATACACACATACATGCATGCATACAGACAGACATACATATACATACAGACATACATACATATAGACATACATACATACATACAGACATACATACAGACATACACACAGACATACATACATACAGACATACACACAGACATGCATGCATACAGACATACATACATACATACAGACAGACATACAGAAAGACAGACATACATACATAGACATACATACAGACATACATACATACACAGACAGACATACATACATAGACATACATGCTTGCATACAGACAGACATACATGCATAGACATACATACATACAGACAGACATACACGCATACAGACATACATACAGACAGACATACAGACAGACATACATACAGACATACATACAGACACAGACAAACATACAGACATACAGACATACATGCATGCATACAGATATACATACATACACATACATACATACAGACAGACATACAGACAGACATACAGACAGACATACAGACATACATACACATACATACAGACAGACATAGACATACAGACAGACAGACAGGCATAGACATACATGCATACAGACATACATGCAGACAGACAGACATACATAGACATACATGCATACAGACTGACAGACAGACATACATGCATACAGACAGACAGACATACAGACATGCATGCATACATAAAGACAGACAGACAGACATACATACACAGACATACACATACATACAGACATATACATACAGACAAACATACATGCATACAGACAGACATACAGACAGACATACATACACATACATACAGACATACACATACATACAGACATACATGCATACAGACATGCACACATACATACATACATACAGACAGACATACATACAGACAGACATACATAAATACATACATACAGACAAACATACATGCATACAGACAGACAGACAGACATACACATACATACAGACATACACATACATACAGACATACATGCATACAGACATGCACACATACATACATACAGACAGACATACATACAGACAGACATACAAAAATACAGACATACACATACATACAGACAGACAGGCATACACATACATACAGACAGACAGACATACAGACAGACAGACATACAGACAGACATACATACAGACAGACATACAGACATGCATACATACATACACAAACATACAGACAGACAGACATGCATACAGACATACAGACATGCATACACATACATACAGACAGACAGACAGACAGACATGCATACAGACATACAGACATGCATACATACATACACATACATACAGACAGACAGACATACACATACATACAGACAGACAGACATACAGACAGACATACATGCATACAGACATGCATACATACATACACATACATGCAGACAGACATACACATACATAAAGACATACATACATGCATACAGACATACAGACATGCATACATACATACACATACATACAGACAGACATACACATACATACATACAGACAGACATACATACATACATACAGACAGACATACACATACATACAGACATACACACATACATACATACAGACAGACATACATGCATATATACACATACATACAGACAGACAGACATACATACAGACAGACATACATACAGACATACATGCATACAGACATACAGACTTGCATACATACATACACATACATACAGACAGACATACACATACATACAGACAGACACACATACAGACAGACAGACAGACATACATGCATACAGACATACAGACATGCATACATACATACATACACATACATACAGACAGACATACACATACATGCATACAGACATACAGACATGCATTCATACATACACATACATACAGACAGACATACACAGACAGACAGACATACATACAGCCATACAGACAGACAGACAGACATGCATACAGACACACACACACAGCTCATTTTCCAGCTACCCTCCTGTCTCTTACCTTTTCTTTGCAGGAGGGTGGCTGGGGATGATGGGAGTCGGCGCGGCTCCCTCTTCATTGCCTGGCTCTCTCTCTTCACTGGCGCGCTCGTTCCTCCCTCGCGGAGTGAGCTGAGAGGAAGTGACCACTTTCTCCCAGCAGCACTTGCGGCTGCTTTTTTTTTTTTTTTTAAAGGGGCCCAGTCGTGCTATACCACGGCCACAGCGCTGACCAGGCCCCTGAAGATATAGGGCCCATCAGGTGGCCCTAAGTGTGTGGGCCACCCGATGAGCCCCAACCGTTATGGTTGTCACCCCCTGATGGCGGCCCTGATTACAGGTGCTGGTGGGAAGTGTGAAAGTGGAATTCCCTGTGTGGTCACCCACTTTGCCCACTTTCTCTCCGCCATTTTATTTTCCTGGACTGGCTGAGAAGACAAAGTGGCAACACCTGGTACAATCCACCATTGGAGCTGGTAAAAGACTAGGACAATACTGATCCACATGAGAGGATGGGTTATAGAGTGAAAGTGTGGAGTGCCATTAACTGAGGGATGAAACAGGTGAGTGGATAGCCAATTGCCCAATTATCCCTTTGTTTACGACAAAAAAGGTCAGAAGTCTTAACTATTTTACTTCCCCCATTGCTGTGCTGCTTCCTGCTCCAGTCTGTTTTTCTCCCGATTGCTCGGTCCAAAGTCCAAAGACTGTAGACCAGGGGTGTCCAAAAGGTAGATAGCCAGATGTTCTTAAACTACAGCTTCCATGATGCTTTGCCATTGTAAACCATTCTAAAAGGCAAAGTATTGTGTCAGTTGTACTTCTACAACATCTGGGATGCTACCTTTTGGGCACACATGCTGGAGACTGAAGAGCCAATTTAAACATATATCTTGCTCTTCTGGAATATCATTCTGTATAACACAGTTACTGAGTAGTATCATGGCTCTGTGTGGGCTAAAGGAATATCTGGTTTACATAATTATTTTCATAATTTGCATTCTAGCTTTTTGTCTGTGTAACAACAATGGCATGGTAAATATTTTAACAAATATATTTGTATGATTTATTTAGAGTATTTTTTTAGAAATGTAAAGTCGATTTGTCACTTGACAGTTTTCAATACAGATAAATGACTTATTAAAAAATGCCCATGTAAAAGTTATACTGAGAGAGACACTGTAATGTTGATAATAAATATATAAAATAAATAAATAAGAAATATATCAAATATAATAAAATATACTTATTTTTCAAGTGTGTAGTACCAGTGTAAATCCGTATGTACAAATCTTTTCTGGTTGCTGCGACATTAAATTAGAACATTAAACACAGCAGTAGTTTGTATACACAGGCATGACAATGATGTGGCCTTGCATTAGCAGTCCATAAATTTGTGGGAAATGTGTTTAAATAAAGCTAGTCTGAGAGGATCATATGGGTATCTTGGCTATTCAGCAGTGGTATGAAAATCCAATGCTCCGTCCGTGTCCTCTTCCAGACCCGATTTACCATTCCTGATAATCTCTCGTCCAATCAGATGTCTTTCAAAGAGAAACAATTGCCACAATCCTACAATCCAATGTTTCACACAGAGAATCAGTGAATCTATTGCATCTCTATAAGAAGCAATAACCACAACCGGTATCATCATGCTGTGCATAATTACACTGAATGTAAGGACGTTGAGAATCAAGGGAGATGCTTCTAGTAGCTCTCTGTCAGCCAATAGAATGATGTTCTCATTGTAAGAGGGGGAAAAAGACAGTAACTATGCAGCAAAGAGACTACATTAAGATACAGTGGTTTTGGTGGTTAGAGTGTACTTTAAAAGTTGGTAGAGACCTACTTGTCTTATACAAGCCCTCCAGGCATTAATAATTAGGAGAAATATGTAAGTTAGATAACAGCTAATTATTTATTTTATTTATAAATGAATATGTATTTATTTTTAGTTTAATAATTTAATAATAGTTTTCCTTTACATGCCCACCCATAACTCGTAATTTAGGTTTGTTGGAGTTGTTAGTTGTTAGATTTCTTCAGTAACGAGCTGACAATTCAACTACAACTCCCAGGAATCTTTGCTGTGTCTTATAAGCTCTGCAGTACTATAACAAGTAAAGTGACTAAAGTAACTGTGTGGTATTGTCGTGTTATCAGAGATCACTACAGAAACTACATGACATAGGAATTTGCAGTGAATTCATGAACTTCACACACAAACACAAATATTCCCCCCATAAAAGCTGTTTAGGCTAGAGGAATATGGATGGAATTTGGGGAATGTGACATATCTGTAGTTTCTTATTGAGAGAAAGTGCCTTATCTTTCCACCTGGCTGTTGTAAAGATCACAGAACATTGATCCGCTTTGGTGTAGTTGATTCTATGAGCCAGTCTAGAGACTCCATTTATAGGAGGTCTTCTCCTGACTTGTAACTTGTAATAGTACCTGAAAATATTCCATGGCAGTCACAACACTCTACATCCTTTGTTAAAATGACATTTTTAGGAATTTATCACTCTATGCATAGGCTATCTGGTGATGATATGTTACTGGTTGTCTATCTACCAGATACCATACCTGGTGGTGATATGTTGCTGATTGTCCATCTACCAGATACCATACCTGGTGGTGATAGATTAGTATGCCTTTTCACCAGATATCATCAGGCCTGGATTAACATAGGGGCTAATGGAGCTAAAGCTTCAGACCCATGCTCCTTCAATACCTCATTAATAAAGAAAAAAAAGTATCACTCTTTACATGCTCTTGCTTTGTGCAGAGGGAATCAAGTATAGGAATTTGGAAGGGATACAGAAGAACAATACTAGTGTGGCCTGGCTGAATATGAAATAACAAAAAACTTGTTTTGCCATTTGTTCTCAGAAGGCATAGAGATTTGCGCACGGTAAGCTCAGGGCATTGATGGAGCGCTATTTGAATAGTCTGCCCTTAGTTGGCAGGCCTGCGTGATTGTCAGGCAGCCTGTCATGCATTCACACCAGACTGACTTTCCAATTCTTTGGGTAGACCTGCCTCCTTTCCAGACAGGTGTGCCACTTTGTGGACGTGATTTGGTTCACTGGCCTTCCTCCTTTTACCTCACTCACACGATGCCAATGCAGGGGGTATGGATTTGGTTGAGAAATGAAAGCGAGAGATTAGCATAGGGTCGGTGCATACACAGAGGGTCTGTGCTTCTCTCCAGTACCACCTCCATACATGACACTTGGGAGGTATGACTGTTTTTTTTTACGGTTTTATGTAGATAAGATTCTGTAGCTACCATAAATCATGCCTGCTTTTGAAATGTTAGAAGTGAACTTGTAGTTCTCCCTTCTAAGTACCTTGTTGTATGAAACGGCCGTTTGGATCTTCAACCCATTCAGTGATTAAATCCATGAGATTCCTGGAAGGATCAGAGGTGGTACACTTATGGCAACTAAGGACCTCAAAAGAACTGAATTCTGTATTCTTCAGCTAATCCAAACAGACCAAAAGCTCATGGAAAGATACTAGAGTGCCATCTTCTGAAGGGGACAAAGGGTTCTGAATTCTAACTTTAGTGAAAACTATATTAATGTTGAAAGAAAGGGGTACCATTTGCAAAGTCTGGGTGACAAGTGGTCCCTTCATAATAACATTGCATGGTCTTCATGTAGTTGTAAAGCTTCAGAACCCCATGTCTGAGCAGCTCATTCAGCGTTTTCAAGTAGTCTGCTGTAAGATCCCTTTGTCATAACATGGAATCTTTCAAAGATTTGATACGTTTAGTTTTGAGAGTTTAGAACGTTGTCAGGTATGTTTAAACAGGCCTTTATGATGTGTGTGCCCTAACAGTGCTGCTGCCCATCAGCTAGATTTTAGGCCGATCGTAAATATGTGGATTAACTTTACATTAATTACAAGCTACTTACTCAATTCCAGTGCAATTCCTTGCACTAGATCTAAATCAAATCCCTGGTATTTTATTAAGATATCAGTATCAGAGAGGTCACTTAATGGGATTATTATTTATTAGCAGGATTACTGAAATGCGTCATCACACAAAAACTTGTGTCTACCTGGCCTGATTATGTTCCACCCTTTGCATTCAGCATGCCAAATTAGTTATATAAAAATCCCTATACATGTCTGAACCAAGTAAATTTAAAGTGACTTTACATCATGTTATAGGGACATGATACTAAAAACATTTAGACCCACTCTGACTAATGTACTACTTACTCAGAAATCCATATTTAGGATCATTCAGTATAGTATGAATTGCCAGGAATTAATAGTGAATTAGACATTTTAGATCCACTGATTAGTTGATTTTCAGTTATATATTTTGGCCTAAAATCAGACATTTATGTTGAACTACTGACACACACAAATACGCCAAATCAATGCTCCATTCTTTTTTGTTAAGCATTGTTAAAAACACTCATTAGCCACAACATTAAAACCACCTGCCTAATATTGCGTAGATCCCACTCACGCATGTTGCCAAAATAGATCTGATGTGTAGAGGCATGGACTCCACAAGACCTCTGAACGTGTTCTGTGGTATTTGGCACAAAACATTAACAGTAGATCCTTTAAGTTCTGCAAGCAAGATGGAAGGTGGGGCTTCCATGGATCAGATTTGTTGTTCCAGCACATCTCACAGAGGCTCAATCGGATTGAGGTCTGGGGTATATGGAGGCCAAGGCAATACCTTTGTCATGTTCTTCCAACCATTCCTGAACAATTTTTGTATTATTGTCATGAAGAGGTGTACATGGTCTACAACAATCTCTAGGTAGATGGTACGAGTCAAAGTAAGATCCATGTGAATGCCAGAACCCAAGGTTTCCCAGCAGAACATTGCCCAGAGCATAATACTGCCCATGCTGGCCTGCCTCCTTTCCATAGTGTATCCTGCTGCCCCAGGTAAATGACGCACATGCACCTGGCCTTCCACCTAATCTAAAAGAAACGTGATTCATCAGACCAGGCAACCTTCTTCCATTGCTCGATGGTTCAGTTCTAAAACTCACCATTAAAGGCATTTTTTAGCGGTGGACAGGGGTCACATGGGCATTTTGACAGGTCTATAGCTACACTGCCCCATATGTAGAAAGCTGCATTGCACTGTGTGTTCTGGCACCTTTCTATAATGGCCAGTATTCAGTTTTTCAGCAAACGAGCTACAGTAGCTATTCTGTGTGTTCAGACCAGACGGGCTAGCCGTCGCTCCCCACGTGTAACAATGAGCCTTAGGCAGAGCCGTCTTTCCACATTGGGCATGCTGGGCAGTTGCCCGGGGGCCCCACAGATCCTTTGATCTCCTCTGCTGGCCCGTGGAGAGACGGCCCTGTTTTCTGGCTGTGGGCTCTCTCGAGCCCAAGGGCCCTTCAATCAGGGAGATAGGGCAGGAGAACCCGGAGTAAAGGAGGAGGGTCCTGTAAGGCAGCCCGAGCAGGCTGTGTGGAGCATTGCGTATAGCGTATTACCATGGCAACGCTACATACAGCATTCTGCGCACAGGAGGACAGGAGACAGCCTGAAACCAGATGAGCTGCAGGCTACACAGAACTCACCACCTCCGGACCTCCAGGGCTGGCTGTGTCCCCCCCTCCCTTACCACAGGTAAGAAGAAGAGAGGCGGGGGGGGAATGAAATTGTATTAATGTATAGCATTATTTAAAAACAAACAAACACATTTGCTACCTGCACCCCCTCAAACTCTGCAACACACACACACACACAGCACTCCACACACACACACACAGCACTCCTGATACACAGCACCCTCCCCCCCCCACACACAGCACCCCCCACACACATGCAGCACCCCCACACACACAGCATTCCTCACACACACATAGCACCCTCACACACACAGCACCCTTCACACACACACACACACACACACAACACCCTTCACACACACACACAGCAACCCCCCACACACACAGCAATCCACACACATACAGCACCCTCCCACAACACAGTTGTATTCAGCGGACTGTGTGCATGTATTCAGCGGACTATGTGTATGTATTCAGCATTTTGTGTGTGTATTCAGCAGTCTATGTGCGTGTGTATTCAGCAGTCGGTGTGTGTATGTATTCAGCAGTCAATGTGTGTATGTATTGTATGTATTTATTGCATTTGTTGAAGGTACTAATAAATATAAGCTTAATTTTATCTATAATTTATATTTTTATTTCTGTGAGTTGTGTGTGGGCGGGGCCCCAGTGCACTGCTTTGCAATGGGGCCTGTAATGTTGTTAAGATGGCACTGGCCTTGGGTGCACATGACCCTGACACTGGTTCACCAGTTGTACTACTTTCCACCACTTTTGGTAGGTATTAATCACTGCATACCAGAAACATCCCACAAGACTTGCCATTTTGGAGATTCTCTGACTCAGTTGTCGAACCATCACAGTTTGTCCCTTGTCAAAGTCAATGAGACAGCCACTAGAGCAGTGATGGCGAACCTATGGCATGCGTGCCACAGGTGGCACGCCGCGCCCCCTCTGTGGGCACGCGGCCATAGGTCGCCGGAGGGAGGGAGTTTGCGCTCTGCCGGCGCATCCATAAGGCGGCACAAGTGGCCGCCTTAGGGCGCACCGGCCCGGCGGGCGCAAAGCCGGAGTGACCGGCAGGAGGTGAGCGCAGAGCGCTCCCTCCTGCCAGGCACTCTGTGTAGCGTGGCCGAGCGCGCCGCGGTACAGGAACTTATGTTTCCTGTACCCGGGCGGACGGAAATGAAGTGCTCACAGAGAGAGCACTTCCTGTCCGCCGGGTACAGGAGACTGAGCTCCGCGGTGCGCTCGGCCACGCTACAAGGTAGGAGACTGAGGGAGAGGAGGAGGTGGGGGAGACTGAGGGAGAGATTGGGGGGGAGGAGACTGAGGGAGAGACCTGAGGGAGAGAGGGGGAAGGAGAGAGGGGGGGGAAGGAACCTGAGGGAGAGATGGGGAAGGGACACCTGAGGGAGAGATGGGAAGGACACCTGAGGGAGAGAGGGACCTGAGGGAGAGAGGGGGGAAGGAACCTGAGGGAGAGAGAGGGGGGAAGGGGAACACCCTGAGGGAGAGATGGGGAAGGGGACACCTGAGGGAGAGATGGGGGACCCTGAGGGAGAGATGGGGGGGAAGGGGAACCTGAGGGAGATGGGGGGGGGAAACTGAGGGAGATATGGGAAACCGAGGAGAGGGGAACCTGAGGGAGAGATGGGGAAGGGAGAACTGAGGGAGAGATGGGAAACTGAGGGAGAGATGGGGACTGAGGGAGAGAGATGGGGGAACTGAGGGAGAGATATGGGGAAACTGAGGAGAGATATGGGGAAATGAGGGAGGGATGGGGAAAGAAAACAGTGGGGAGAGAGGGGACGACATACACACAGCACCCCTGCCCTACACATATCACCCCACAAACACACACACATCACCCCACACACACACACACCACACACACATCACCCCACACACACACACCACACAAACACATCACCCCACACACAAACACATACACTGTACCCCTCAATGCAGTGTGTGTATTTAGCAGTCTGTGTGTGTGTACACTCAGTACTCGGCAGTCTGTGTGTGTGTGTGTGTGTGTATTTAGCAGACTGTGTACTCAGCAGTCTGTGTGTATTCAGCAGTCTGCTAAATACACATACAGACAGACTGCCAAGCACACACACAAACTGCTTAATACACACACAGATGTTAATTAGTTCGGACAACTGTATGAGTTGTTTCTTCTAAACTTAAACCTCAATATTCAGGTTTAATTGCCGTTTTGGCACTTTGAGGGGAAAAAAAATTGGCATGTATTACGGTTTGGGCACTCGGGCTCAAAAAGGTTCGCCATCACTGCACTAGAGGCTGGATTAACCCTCAGTGAAACATAGCAGTTTCTCTATGTTTACAGCTGCAGGGTTAACCCTTGATGGACCTGGCACCCAGACCACTTCTTGAAAAAGCTTTATTCGCATATGTCTACAGTCCGGATTCACACCTAGCTTTCTCTTCATTTCATTTATATTCACTTATGGAACATGTGTGCATTCTACCTCTAAAAGAGGTGGATGCATATCATATATGAATATTCTAAGTGTACACAGTTATATATATAAAATATAGAACTTATAAAAATGCTAGAAACCACTTAAAGTAATGATCAATATATTAAAACTTGGAGACATCCATATATTTAACCCCTTAAGGACTGGACTGTTTTTGCGATGTTGTACATTTGCGACCAGGAATATTTTTACACTTTTGTGGTGTTTGTGTTTGGCTGTAATTTTCCGTTTTCTCATTTACTGTTCCCATACAAATTATATATTGTTTTTTTCAGGACAAAAGGGGCTTTCTTTACATACCATTATTTATATAATCTCATGTATTTTAATTTAAAAAAAATAAAAAAATCTGATGAAAAATTGAAAAAAATACATGTTTTTTGACTTTTACTTGAAAAATCTTTTACTCATCTACAAAAGCGAATGAAAAAAACTGCTAGATTCAAAATTTTGTCCTGAGTTTAAAAATACCTAATGTTTACGTGCTTTTTTGCTTTTTTTTGCATGTTATAGGGCTATAGGTACAAGTAGGATATTGCGGTTTCAAAACATACATTTTAAAAATTTATCAATAGTGACATTGTAACACTATTATCTGTCATAAATCTCTGAATAACACCCCACATGTACATATTTTTTTTAAAGTAGACAACCTAGGGTATTCAATATGGGGTATGTCCAGTCTTTTTTAGTAGCCACTTAGTCGAAAACACTGGCCAAAGTAAGCATTCATATTTGTTTGTGTGTGAAAAAGTAAAAAAACTAAATTGAACGCTAATTTTGGCCAGTGTTTGTGACCAAGTGGTTACTAAAAAAGACTGGACATACCCCATTTGCAATACCTTGGGTTGTCTTCTTTTGCAAATGGTATGCCATCATGGGGTAATTCTCATTCCTGGGCTACCATACGCTCTCAAAGGCAACGTAACCAACCTGGCCATTTTCAATGTAAAAATATTTGACCCATATATTTGACCTTGTAACTTTCAAAAATGCTATAAAACCTGTACATGGGGGGTACTGTTTTACTCGGCAGACATCGCTGAACACAAATATTAGTGTAAAAACTGGAAAACGTATCACAACAATTATATCATCAGTAAAACTGCTGTTTGTGTGTGAAAAATGCAAAAAAAAGTAACTTTCACTGACAATATCATCGCTGTGATATGTTTTACTGTTTTGAATCACTAATATTTGTGTTCAGCGAAGTCTCCCGAGTAAAACAGTACCCCCCATGTACAGGTTTTAGGGTGTCGTAGAACGTTACAAGGTAAAATACAGTGCTAGCAAATTAAATTCTCTGGAATTTCGGCCTGGGTTGGCAAATTGCAATCAATAAAATTACTGAATTATGTAAAAATATTACATAAATACGCACGCAGAATTTAAATATATATGCATATTTATATATTTGAAGTCTACGTGTATATTTATATAATTATTTATGTAATTTTGTATATGGACGTATGTATATTTCTTATTATTTCTCTATACAAATTCATTCTAAGTGTATTTTGATATAAATATATATATATATTAATTTTAAAATACAGTTAGAATAAAATTTCATATAGCTATATAATTTTTTAAAAATTTTTTAGTATTATTTAAAAAAAATATTTAATTTAAATTACTTATTATTTATATTTTATAATAATATATATATACAATATATATAGTTATTATATATATTATATATATACGTGTGTAATTTAATTATAAGTGTATTTTATATTAATATAAGTACATATTAATATAAAAATACACTTAGTATGACATTATATATATATGATATATAGACATATATTATATAGATATAATATATGTCTATATATCATATATACACATATATAATTATTTTTATTTTTTTAATTAACACTAACTTTATTTTTTTTTTCTGATTTTACACAAGCAGGGAGACTGCCTGTCAGCACAGACAGTCCCCCTGCAGGCAGACACATGGACACCTATTGTGACCATGTGATCGCTGTGTTGAGCGATCACATGGCCACAGGGGTCCTAATCTGCCGTGGGGAGACTGTCTGGGCTGCAGGCAGTCTCCCCACAACCGGAGGAACACTGATCGCCGCCGGGGGAACGACGGCGATCAGGTAAGTACCCCCAGACCGTTAGGACGGTTCAGGACCGTCATCGGTCGGCAAGGCAAAAATGCCGATGACGGTCCTGAACCGTCCTCGGTCCTTAAGGGGTTAAAAATATAAACATCTGTATGACAAAAAAAGAAATATATACGTAAAGATGAAATATATGCATATATGTCTAGTAAAAATAAGTGAAAAATGATAATATAATGAGTCCTAAGTGAAAAAGACCAAATCCCATACAGAAAAATCATAGATTTCATATATTGAGGTGCAAAAAGCAATAATATCTAGTACATATACTTAGGTGTAAGTAACAATAATAGCAGATAGCCCATTGTGTAACATATAAGAAGAGTTATTTTTTGAGGAAATGGCAAATCTCAAAATCAGAATTTAACCCATTGGGTATCAAGGTGTTAAAGTTAAAAATACATTTCATTTCCTCCTTCCCTAGTTTGTTCGCATAGTCTCCTCCTCTCCAATTTTTAGTTACTAATTTTATTGCACAAAATAGAAGGCCTGTGGGGTCTTGGTTATGGGTCATTTTAAAGTGCTGTGAAACAGAATGCGTTTCTAGACCTTTTCTGATATTCCGCACATGTTCTGCAATTCTTATATGGAGGGGTCGTATTGTTCTTCCTATATAGAGTAGATTGCAGGGACATCTTAAGACATAAATAATTCCTTTAGAGTGACATGTAAGATGGTCTTTTATCTTATATTGTTGACCTAATAGTTTGCTTATGTCCAGAAGGTGTCTTTTTTTACTTTTCGTTGCCCTGCATGGTAAACATTCCCCACAACCATAAAAACCTACAAGGTTGTTCAAAAAATGGTCTGGTTTGGCGTCATCTAGACTGCTCCTAACCAAAATATTTCGTAAATTCTTAGTTCCTCTATATATAATTTTAGGTTTTAGAGGTAGAATAACTTTCAAAATTGGGTCATCTCTCAAAATATGCCAGTGTTTTTGTATGGCATTTTGGATTTTTTTAGTGTTTCCGTTATATTTACATATAAAAGGGATGTCCTCATTTCTTTGAGAGGTATTCTTAGATTTATATTTTAAAAGTTGTTTTCTTTCTAAAAGTTTTATATCTTCTAAATCTTTTTTTAGTTTAGTTTCCTCGTAACCTTTCTCTAAAAATTGATTCATTAAATACTTTGATTGTTCTGTATATACTTGTGTGTCTGTGCAGTTTCTTCTTAGTCTCTTAAACTGTCCTCTCGGTGCATTAACGAGCCAAGGAGTATGATGACAACTGGTTCTATCAATATAAGTATTAGTGTCTATCAGAATATATAGACATCATGTTACAACCATTGGTTGTACAGAATCCATACTATCTGAAAGATACGATCCATATGCTTCAAATATTAGAACAAATTAGATGTCAGGAAGGATACATTCTGTTCACATGTGACGTCAGTTCACTATACAGCATCATTCCCCATAATAAGGGACTAGAGGCAGCGAAATATTTTTTAGAAAAATCTCTTTTTAAGAAAGAACAAATAGATTTTATTTTGGAAGGAATTCTTCTAATTTTAACCAACAACTTCTTTTGGTTTCAGGACCAGTTTTTTCTGCAGATCTGTGGTACAGCAATGGGCACCAAGTTTGCCCTCAGTTATGCCAATCTCTTTACACAGTACACAGTACTGGAGACCGTATCTTCAGAAGGATATTGATACCTTAGAGAGGGTTCAGAGAAGGGCTACTAAACTGGTTCATGGATTGCAGGATAAAACTTACCAGGAAAGGTTAAAGTATCTTGACATGTATAGCTTGGAGGAAAGACGAGACAGGGGGGATATGATCGAAACATTTAAATACATAAAGGGAATCAACACAGTAAAGGAGGAGACTATGTTTAAAAGAAGAAAAGCTACCACAAGAAGAGGACATAGTCTTAAATTAGAGGGGCAAAGGTTTAAAAATAATATCATGAAGTATTACTTTACTGAGAGTGTAGTGGATGCATGGAGCCTTCCAGCTGAAGTGGTAGAGGTTAACACATTAAAGGAGTTTAAGCATGCGTGGGATAGGCATACGGCTATCCTAACTATAAGATAAGGTTAGGGACTAATGAAAGTATTTAGAAAATTGGGCAGACTAGATGGGCCGAATGGTTCTTATCTGCCGTCACATTCTATGTTTCTTTGTAAAGGAGTGATTGTGAGGACAGGGAAGCAAGTAGCTGTAGCTCTTGCTATAAAGAACTTTATAAGTCAGCTATCCAATAATTTGCAGTGTTTCTGCCATGTTACATTACAGGCCTCATATGCCCAGAGCAGTCGATAGGTGTCATGCAACTGCAGCCTTTAACTCCATCTACACATTGTAGTTTTATTTTTACACAGTGCATCTCTGATCTTTAAGAGAAAATGCCCTATCTATGTTACTACTTGGCCCATCAATGGCCCTTTATGATACAATTCAAGACCCAAAGCCATATCTTTACAATCATTTCCAGAGAACAGGACCAAACATTGCATAAACTCAGATAGTTATTTGGGGTATTTACTAAACAGGATTTGTAGAGTATTTATAAGGAAATTGCAAAAATGTCGATTTTTTTCTAGTTTGTATATTCTGATGTAAAATTGGTGATTCTCTAGTCAGTTGTTTAGAATTTTCATTTTAATGAATAAGACCCAATACTTATTTATGAAAGCTGAGTGCAAACAGTGAGAATCATATTAGCCCAACAGGTGCTCTTCCAAGGCTTGCAGATAACGCAATCTCTCTGGCAAAATCAGCTGTCTCACAGTCAGAGAAACGCCTGATATGGAGGTCTCGGTATGTTTCGGCTGCACAGCAAACAGTAACAGCAAACAGCCTTGTGAATAGTGTTTCACAAATGTCTCATATCGACTTCTGAACAAATATTAGAACGTTATTAAACGAAAGCACGGTAAGATTGGAAAAACTATACTGTTGAAACAAGGATGCTTCCGTCATCATATATGTGTGGAAAACACAAATTTTCCGACCTGATTAGAGCCTTCATATTCCCCACATTTGAAAGTTGAAACATTAAATGATACATATAGTGTAAGACAAAAAAAGAGACATGTTACTGCCCCATAACATTCAAGTATTACGCTAAGCACCATCACCACTTCTGTATTTTGGAATTCCCTGGAAGTGCAGTGTTTCAACATGAAGTGCTGCACTTGTATACCGATACACATTTAATATTGTGTCTGAATTAAATGATTTGACTGCTTACATGCCAGGGCACTCCTGGTACCATAACCACTTCAGAAAGCCGCTATGCTCATGCTTGGAGTGGTCCTTTATTAATGAGATGACATAATTAAAACACAACTATCTCACATTGTAACAAGTCACAGACATGCTCTTTATCTAATGATATGAATGCATTTCTGCTAATGCTACATTGGTTGCAAATTTTATTTAATATTGTGTTTGATTGACCCAAAACAATTGTGAAAGCAAATGACAGGATGCTGATCAGTTGATGTTAAATCAAACGGACCCTGGAAAGCCATCGAGACTGCAGCCAAATTTATCAAGGTAACAGGTGTCAAAGCAATACATTTAGTGAGACATTCCACTGGTTTTCAGCAGAATTTGATTAAAGGAGCACGTCGTTTGGCTGCACATGCGTATCTCCAATACAAAGCTCTTCTATGGGAAGCACTGGATTGACTGAGATCATGGAAGATGGCACAATTTTAACTTTAATTTTACAGAGCAAAGAGGGGTGCACAGTGATCACACTGCTAAAACGGAAATTATGGATCTGAAAAAACGATTGTTCTTTTCGAGACTACAGGTTTCCTCTAAATTCAATTGGAACTCACATTGAATTCCTGACAATTTTACTGTAGTGTGTACACCTGTATATGTTTGCAACACTAACATGAATATTCACTGAAGTGAGAATTTAAAGTGAATTTCATATTTAAGGCCAGAGTAGCCAAACTTAAAGCATAGCTGACTCAGGGAATTTTTCCAGTTTGACTATTATGACCTTAAATTTAAAATTCTCACCTTGGTGAATAACCCTGTGAAACACATTTTCATAGCGTGCCTGGGGGCTTAGTATCTCTGCATGGCTCTAGTGCCCCTAATTAATCTCTATGGTTTTTACAGCCTGCATGCTGAGATAGAGTAGATATGTATACTCCCTGCCTTGAAGGGGATACCTGAAATGTTTAAAAAAAAAACTCATCAGTCATGATGGTCACTCTGTAACAAGCTGACCAATTAATTGCGCTTAATAGAGTTACTTCAAAACAAATTCTACTGTTATCAAATGTAGCGCAGAATTTAATTCAGCAGAGTTTGTGATGGGAAGAAGACACATGCTCTCTCCAATTATAAAATAATTTATTTAGTTAAATATTTATATTTAGAAATTAGAGATCCATATAAGAGCTTCCCTGTATTTCTTAAAGAATCACTATAGTGTCAGGAAAACAAACTCGTTTTCTTGACACTATGTCATCCTTGGGGGACTCTCACCCACAGGGTCCCCCTTCCGCTGGGCTGAAGGGGTTAAAACCCCTTCAGCCACTTACCTTAATCCAGCGCCAGGCTCCCATGGCGCTGGTGACCTCTTCTCCCCCGCCGATGTCAGCTCCCGAGTGGAGCGGAATGCGCATGCGCGGCAAGAGCCGTGCGCGCATTCAAACAGTCCACAGGAAAGCATTTCTCAATAGCAACTGTTTTTGCCATGATAAATCTCTCCCACTAGGTCTTAATCAAAATTACAGAATCATTGATTAATTCACATGTAGGTTTATCATGAAAGCCTAGCAAAATCAATCCTCCTTACGATAATGTTAAAGTACAATGTTTTTTAATAAACAGATTTGGCAGGGTTTACTGCGTAGCAGAAAATGCCCAAAGTTAATCTTATCAAGTTGCTTTTTTCTTTTTTTTTCTTTCATGTAACTATTTCATTGTCTGACTGTCTGTTTTTTAAAAGAATTTAAACCTGATGCTATAAATATATATTCAAGACAGAATTCTATTTATTTTTTAATAATATGCAATCACACAAAAAATATTATGTCGGGGGGCTAACCGGTCGCATGCAGGAGAGGCTCCAGATAAACTGGGCCTCTTAAACTACTTAATGCGGACCTCCGCACAATAAACGAGCCCATGAGATACCCATGGCTGTGGGAGAGGCAGCAAACCCCGAGACAGGGAGTTCTGGTCCCCAAGAGGAAGCACAGAGCTTCGAGGGATGTGGCCTACCCGGGAGGGGAGCGAGGTGGACGGCCGCCACCGGGCCCCCCCTCCCCACTACCACATGCCGACCACCTGAGTCACTTGCCGGCCCTGTTTCCCCACCCTATGGACCGGGGGGGTCATCCGGTCCCCACTGAGGAGAGCTTGAGCCGCATGGGGATCGAGGCGCAAGGAACCCGCAAGACATACCTCGCAAGATGGCGGCAGATCATGGCCTCTGCCACCCACCAGGGAGTCCCTATGAGTCCCTCACCTGCCATGCCGGAGGGCCCCAAACAAAACACAACCGCCAAAATCACGGTCTGCAGCTATCTGGGCAGCGAGCAACAGCCTAGTGGACTCACATGCACACCTACACATAGGACAAGTGCTGGACTCACCAGACCACCGAGCCTGACAAGCGGAGATCTACCATACCTGGATGAGTATCTATGACCACCAGATCAGTGACAGAGGGGAAGGAGCACTACATGCCAGCACAGAGACTCTCACAACTCCATAGACTCAACAGGGGGCAACAGCCTCTCGTGAACCAGCCTGTGTAACTTACTAGCAATATAAGCTTGTACAATTCGTGTTATCACCAGACAGTCTGACGAACTGACCTAGCCTGTTTGCAGCTTAAATGTACACTTTAAATCGATGCTATACTGCTTTAACTGATTCTGCCTATTTATATTATAAAATTGTGCCTGTAAATCAAAACCCAGCATGTTCAGCGAGGGAAATGCCTCAAGCTTGTTTGTACCATGTCTATGCACTGCAAAAATAAAAAATTTTAAAAATTAAAAATATTATGTCGTGCTGTGCAACAGTGGTAGAACTAATACATAGAAGGACATGGTTCAAGAAAATTTTTTGGACCCCCTCTAGCACAAGGGTGGTCAAAAGATAGATTCCCATCGGTTGTAAACCTCCATGATGCCATACCAGCTGGGGATCGACCATGTTTCCTATCCTAGCAGGGTTGCATTTGTGAGCAGTTGTGCGTTTAACTGTAAACATGTTTCTGTATGGAGCATGTATGTGTGCATGTAGGGGTGTATATATGTACAGTTGCAATTGGAATGCAGTGGTATACTTCTATGTAGTGTTTGGTTTCAATGCAGGGGTGTATTTGAAGTGTTGGCATTTAAATTTGGGTGTACATTTGTGTTTATGTTTGGTGTTTGAATGAAGTGGTGTGTTTGTATATACTTTTGGCGTTTGACTGCAGGGTTGTGTTTGTATGTGATGTTTGTATTTGATTGCAAGGGTGTGTTTGCTTGTAGTGTTGGTGTTGGTTGCTGGGATGTATACGCATTTACACATGCACTGTCACATACATATATACTTACATAGATAAACATACACATTGACACAAGTAAAGGTACACACACTGACACATACACACATTCACATACACACTGACACATAAATACACACACACTGACACACAGATACATATATACACACACTGACATACAAATACGCACATATACACACACTTTCACATACAGAGAAACATAGATACTCATATAGTTCTGGTCTGCCAATGTAGTGTTGGGGGTAAAACTTGCACCTTGGACATGATTAAAAATATCTTTGGAAGTGCAGTGTGTCAAGCTGAAACAATGGACATCCAGAGTCCTACCACTATGGTGGCCACTTCAAAAAGCAGTTTGCTAAACAGTCTGTTTCAGTGAATTTAGGGGACTTCAAAATGTATGACAAATCAGGAGATTTAGAAATAAAATCCAATTTAGAAACGTTTTAAAAAACATTGGTCATATTTTGAAATTTCCTTATTTCCAGTTTAGTAAATAAATTTCATAGAGATCAGTTGTCTGCGTGAAGCATTCTTGAATCACCAGTGAACATCAACAATGTTTTTACAGCGTTTTAGTGTTTTGCATGCCAGTAAAAAAGGTTGTGGGCTGGTAAGATAAGGATTGCAAAAACTGTTGCAAAAACATATTCAAAACCTTACATATTAATGCAAATAGACACTATTACTAAACAAAAATGGATCTTGCACAAATTTCAGAATATAGTGAGTAGCCCTGCAGTGGATATGTTGAACATTTTGAGAAAGGTCTCCTTTAAATGATTGTATTAAATTTGGACAGGGATGGATTAAGATTTCACAGAGCCCTGGGCAAGTATCAATTTGAGAACTCCACTTCACACTTAGTATTGGAATGGGAACATAGCTTCATGAACCTGGGGTTCCTGTATAACTCTTGAGGCATGTCTGTAGGTCACCTTAAGGTTACAGGACATTTCTAAGCACCATAACCCTTACATTACCACTACCATAACTGTACTGCCCCCTGTAGTGGTTATAGTGCCAAAAGTGCAATCCTGGAGTAAGTAGCCAATCCTTACTTGGAGTCTGCTGGAGGCTCATGTGGAGCCAGAAGCTTCTTAAAGGACTATAAGTCCACATCCACTGCGATAACCTCTGCAATGCTATATGGCTCGTTGGGTGAGAGCTTAGCTCATTGCAAGAATGTGGTTTAGCTCCTAGCTGCAAAGAAGGTGGTGGTGGTGGGTGCCCCGTGTACCCCTGGTAACTTGTCTCAAACTGCTCTTAAACAGTTTGACTAAATCCACTGGGAGGGCACCAGGGCACTCCTGTCACTATAACCACTACAATGTGCTGTAGTGATTATGGTACTTAGAGTGTTCCTTTAATCAGGCTATAATTTTGAATAGTAAGTATACATTTGGCCCTCTTTTCCAGTAAACAACAGTTCAAAAATCTAAAATATTTACATAGCTTTGCAAACATTTACCAGTCTATCTAATTACTTTAGTACTATCTATGACATGAGGAGAAAAAGACATATTTATCCTAAGGTCATTTTCAGTTATTTGCTTGCAACTTAATATGAAATAAGGCAGTTTTTTATTACTAACCTAAATGCAAGAATGGACATGGTGAGAGGGATAAAGACTGCTTTAGGAAAATGAGTTTATACAGGGAGCAGTATTTAGGATATTATTTCCAATGTTAGTGGTTTGGGACCCCCCAGCAGTGGAGGTTTAAGGGTGCCCTACAGGAGTGCAATGCAAAAGTTCATTTATCAGACAGTGACATTCACTGCAGCTGAAAGGAACATGTGCGTTCACATCAGAAGGGGTCATGAAGGTTGGCTCAGTGAGACGGAGTGGGACTGGTACTTTACTAACCACTTCTAGAGAGAAAAACTAACTGGGCTGGATTCAACCAACACTATCTGTCTGTCTGTGTGTCTGTCTGTCTGTCTGCCTGTCTTCAATACAATCCAATTGAGATATCAATATGCTATATAGTTTATCTAATCTACAGATGATCTGTCTTTCTGTCTGATCATCTATATCTGTCTGTCGGTATGTTTTATCAGGAGGAGATCTGTCTGTGAAATATGTAGAGGAAAGAGTTTGATATTCATTCTATAATCCTGAGCATATCATGTAATTGACCAATACATTGATTAGATGCGAATTGCGAAATAATTCCAATACCCCATCATATAAGTCAAACTATAAAATCATAGCAATATCCCAACTCCCTGTATAGGTCTGCCTTTTCTTGAGGTTTGGGGTTATATAAAGTGCCCCACCTCCCTTGTTTAGCCCAGTAAGGTGAAAAACAAACAGGCAGTGAGTGTGTAATATATAACATAGTAACACAGGAGGCAAATGTCAAGGATAGAGCTTTCACCCACAGCTGCAGATACAGTTATTGACTAATGCTGGCTCTGTTCAGAGTGATACTAGACTGGAGGGGGGTGTGTGTGTGTGTGTGGAGGGGGGAGTATAATTCAACCTATATACCAATTATTGTTATTGTGTGAATAGAATGGAAAGGTGTGCGTCCTAAACTTACAGAAAGAAATTACAATGAAAAAAAATAACGAACTGCTATCTGATAATGTTATTTAACAAAACATGCAACATTATATCTAGCCAACAATGTATATTATAATAAGATATATTATTTTTCACTCCAGATCTCTCTGACCTACACCTTACAAACGGCACAGTTCTATTTGTATCGATACACAATGAATGTGCATAGTGTCAGAGTACATATTGTGAAAACATGCAGGAATTCCTAACATGTCCAATAAAGCAATAGAAATATGTAACATATTACACGGTGTGTATTCATTCTACTGCAGAAAATACCCCTTGTTATGTAATTCCGCTCATCTAGGGTGGTGTAAATATGTCAAACATGCTCTGCATGGCCAAAACCTAAATGAATGAAAAGTTCTGAATTGGGCACCAAGTGGTCTCATTTTTGGGTCATGCAATCTCTAACCTGCATTTAATGCATGGTAGTATCAGCATGAGTGGCTCATGCCAGCTTTGCATTACCTTGATCAGATTGTGTGCCACTGCAGATACCAGTGCTTCGTCTCCTCTCTGCCATGGGGCGTGCACCCCTGTGCCATAGCCATGCCATGCTATTAGATAAGGGTTGTGCATGGTGATCCAGTACTTTACCCGGTCCCCAAATGTCTTGAAGCAGAAGCTGGCATAGTCATTGAAGAGATGGGAGACGCTTTGATTTGCCCAGCCCCCGTACATCTCCTGGATGGGCAGAGGTAGGTCCCAGTGGTACAAGGTGATCACTGGCTGCAGGTGTCTGCTGAGCAGCAAGTCTATCACAGAGTTGTAATACAGGACTCCCTGCTCACTGACAACTTCATTGCCATGGGGGAAAAGCCTTGGCCAGGAAATGGAGAAATGGTAAAAATTCACCCCAAGGAACTCCAGCCCTGACAGCTCCTTCTGCAGGAAGCTGGTAGAGGGGTCTTCAAGAACATCACGATGAAGGTGATGAGTGCTGTTCTGGTGGGATCTCATATACTGGTCCCATATAGAGGGTCCCCTGGTGGAGTGGTCTTCTTCAGCCTGCAAGGATGAGCTACCGACCCCCCAAAGGAAATCTGGGGGGAATTCACCATGAGCAAAGAGCTGGCTCTCATTCAGTGGGTTCTGAAGACGGATTCTATCCCACACTTTCCTGCCTTCTCCAGGGCTTCCACTGACTGCTCTTATAATAACCAGAGCCACAAAGAGCCAGGACCCATTCAGCCAGCAGTCACCCATTGTAAATCTCCTTTCAGGTCTCCTGGCTGTGTGTAGGGCAGCCAGAGAGCCATCCACTGACTATAGGTTCCTGGGAGAAAGGGTGATGTCCTCTGCTCTGAGTGCTGGACTGTCTTATCTCAGCTCCACTATAGAGCTGGATTGTAAAAGTCCTGTCAATGATTAGCCTGAACTGTGAGCCCGGGGGGGTTGCTCCAAAAAAAAAAAAAAAGTGGGGGTGGTTGTGCCCTTGCTTGTGCTATGGAGAGTCATACTGCTTGCATATTGCAATATGTTACCTATCAGGGCTGAGCTGCTGACGTGCTTTCAGGGATACAAAGTATCTGTCAGTAATCGTGTGATTGGGAATATTCTCAATCTTTAACCCCCGCATTGCCGCACAGACCCAGCTACCTAATGGGAGCTCTGTAAAACCGGTGTTTTATAATAAAAAAATAAATAACCATAGTAAAGAAGGCACAACGCCATGACAACAGGTGATATAGATTTTTATTCATGAGGAACCTCACCTGTCTAGTATTGCACAGTACTTGTTTATGAAATGTGTGTGCGTGTACATATGTTACTTTATGTTTTTATTATGCAGAATATCTGTCTCTGTCCGTCGGTCTGTCTGTCCGTCTGCCTGTCTAAATGAAAAGTATGACTTCACATAAACATCTATACATTACATGCATTTTACATGACATACATTTTTGTATCTGTTTATACAGTTAAAGTCTGCAAAGTTTTTAACATATTATCATATCCTGTAACTAAATCCACTTTTTACATGTTTGATCGGTATAGACAGATATAGAGATAGATAGAAAGATACATAGATAGACTGATGGATAGATAGATACATAGATAGATATATAGATAGATAGATAGATAGATAAATGGATAGATAGATAGCTAGATAGACAGATAGATAGATAGACAGACAGATAGATAGACAGACAGATAGATAGATAGACAGGCAGACAAGCAGATAGATAGATAGATAGATAGATACATAGATAGATAGATAGATAGACAGACAGATAGATAGATAGACAGACAGATAGATAGATACATAGATAGATAGATAGACAGACAAGTAGATAGATAGATAGATAGATAGATAGATAGATAGATAGATAGATAGACAGATAGATAGACAGGCAGACAGACAGATAGATAGATAGATACATAGATAGATAGATAGATAGATAGATAGACAGACAGACAAGTAGATAGATACATACATACATACATAGATAGATAGATAGATAGATAGATAGATATCACTCTCTCTGTGTGTAATTTTGGGATGAGCACGGTTTCTAGAAGTTGGAGTCCACAGGTGCTAAAGATCCAGAGGTTGAGCCCAGCCTGTAAGTGAAAGTTTGTGATTGTGTGTGTGTTTGTGTGCTCATTAACACAATGACTATCAGAGCACATTCCTTGCAGGATCCATACCTGCAGAGATAGATAAATGGAACCCTTATCACAGTGAGTACCCAGGGTACAATGATACAGAGTTTCTCCCAGAGAGAGCCTATCTAGCAAGTGATAAAATATGGGCCATTACAGCCCAGCCCTCAGTAAACACACAATGGCTATGAATTTAATCGCTTTACCTAATGTCTGTGCCATAACATTAACAATTACAGTCACTGCCTTGCAGTTTGAATCTTTTCTAAAACAGGGCTTTTCAGTTTACTTAGGAGCCACACCATTCTGGACCTTTGATGTCATCAGAGAAAGTGTCTGGCCCATCACAGCCATTTCCTGGCCTCCCATTCACTTTCATGGGACAGTAAGGGAGCGGGTATGCAACACACACATGCTCTATAGATTCTAACGGTTCTATGGAAACCCTTCCAGTCACTGCTAGGATAAGTATTGTTCTGTGAATGGATAAATCAATGTCCCTCTACCCCACTGTCCAATATACTCCTCCATAGACCTCTATATGGATTGCATTAGGGATTCAGGAAGTACTTGTACTGTCCTGTCATGTATTTCACATAATTTTGCAAGTGGAAGCAACACGTTTTTGTGGTGCCATTTTGAGTTTTTAATTACTGCAAAATCCACGCATCTGGCAACATGATCCTCATCTCCCTCCTCCCCCCACCCCCCAATAATAATAATAATAATAAAATAAAATAATAATAATAAAACCCAAATATATAAAAACAAACAACAACCCAGGATCATTGTGCTGGCTACTAAAAATAATTCAGTTATATTTTTGCCTCTAAGACTCAAGGGGCAATTCCTACTCATATCCTACCACCAGAGACATTTTTTACTAGCCTGTGCTGTCTTGGAGATGGCTAACTTTGTTACTGATAACTGCATACCAATATCTCTGCAAAGAGAATAAAACAGTGATAAAAGACACATAGATAACAGAGCCTTGATCACTGCAGACACAGGGTTCCAAACAGTTTACAGTTTTATTTACACATTGCTTGTGTTTACACGTTTTTATCTATGTCATTGTTTAGTTCAATTTGCCAGACCCAGCCAGGCATGCTGGTTAACTGACTAACTGATTTGCATTCTGTGTGTTTGCTGAGAGAGGAGAGCCATGCTTTATTACTGTACCTAAGAATAGGCTGCAAAATCCAGATTAAAAAAAAAGTTGTTGTTTTTTTAATAAGGAAAATTAGATTAATTTATGGTTTACGCTTTGTTAATTTTGGGGATCTACCTATTGGCCAGCCCTGATCTAGCCTGTTTTCACTGGTCAATAAGTGAATTTCAAATTTAAGGCCAAAGTAGCCAAGCATTGCTGACTTTCCAGAGACAACTTTTCCAGTTCCGTTCTTTTAGCCTTAAATTGATAATTCTTTTTGAATTGACTCTAAATTCTCACTTTAGTGAGTAAACCTGTGTATATTGCATCTCTCATCATGCACAGCAATCCTCTATGAGTTGTAGTTCTCAAAATGCAGAGAGTGAGAAGTTGTCACAGAACTTATAAATTACCCTCCATCCATGTCAATCTCATCCTGGCTCCTCTTTCCTTTATTTTAGGAACCCTGCTCTTCAGTATATGTTTCCCGGTATAGACTATGTCTACAAGCTACAATTTAAAAACTTTGACCCTAGTATATCTCAAAGATATTTCTCAGTGTGGAAAATGATTGGAATGTGCAAAGATCACCGATTGCAGCTCTTTGTAAATCTGCCAAATACAATGCTTTGTCTGTATTGTAGTGAAGTTTGCACTGTAAGCGAACTGTTTTGTGAAGTTTTATACCGGTAACTCTTTAATTACTATCCTTTTAAGGGCTTTACGTATATGAAACTGGTAAACAAAAAAGGGTATTAGTGTAGATTTTCATATAGGTGTTCAATGCTAGGGGACTCAAGACATCCATGTCACTTCAATGAGATGAAATGGTTATTATTATTTTATTATTTATATAGCGCCATGAGATTCCGTAGCGCTGTACAATGGGTTATGGTGCTTGGAATAGGATGAAGCGCCACTGTATAAGTTAGAATAGCAGGGTTACTGTGTAATGCGGGGCATGTGGGTTAAGTGCTTTTAAATTACAAGAACCCATTAATTTTAAAACACCTCCTCAAGACGTAGACCAGAGGTGCCCAAAAGGTAGATCCCCATATGTTGTAGAACTACAACTCCCATGATGCATTTAGAATTGCAAAGCATCATGAAATCTGAAGTTTTAAAACATCTGGGGATCTACCTTTTTGGGCACCCCTGATATAGACCATTGGAAAGACCTTTTTTAATAACAACGCTGCAATGTAATAGTCTCCTACCTGAAGACTTGAAGCCAGCTTCCTCATCAGAAATATTCTGTGCACCATCGTATAGTCATTTATTTTATTCCTTAATTTCAAAATCCACAGCTTATTAACACTTATTAACACAAGAGGTAATTAGCATCATCACACAAATGAAAGAATATTTTTATTTTTCCTGCCTCTGGTAAGCCCAAGAGCTACTCCGCAGAATCTGAATTTTTTATTTTTTTTACTTACAATCTTTTATTACAATATTTTTATTGGTAGTTTGTATCACCAGTACATATGATGATAAAATAGACAGTAGCCAGTACTGCACACTAGATATGAGAAGAGAAACAAGAATTTATGTGGGAGGTGGTATCTGCTCAGCATTATGGTTAGGGTGAGGCACACATTAAATGGTGTATCAATACAGTTTTCCTATGACCTCTGCAGGGTAGGTGTTAAAATAAAGATAAACTTTAGGCGAGAAACAAAATAATTCACTGTTCTAGTTGTGAAGAAACAGACCCCAAATATCGGGTGTTGCACCTATCTTGTTAAACCATCTCCCTATAGCAGATATAATGCAGAGAGAAGAAGATGTGATGGTGATATTATCTGTAATGCTGAGTAATTGTGAGCTTGTGGCTGATGTCTAACAGAGCTCACTCAAGCATGCTTGCTCAGTTGGGCTACAGATGTTTTTCATTAACAGTTTTAAGATTGTGACGCAATTTCAAGATTGCCACCTTATCACCAATAAACAGCAAAGTGTTGATTACAGCTAAACTGTGTGGTTCAATTTGATGAAAATTATATTAACCTGTTGGGAATAATGTTTCAAACTGACTTAGGGAAATTACCTTTACGAGTTCTACTTAAAGGGTTACTCCAAGCACCATGTGCGATTTAAAGTAGTCATGGTGCATGTAGTCTGCATGTGCAGTGTTTTTCACTTTGATGTGCTGCACATACAGAGATTAAGCCCTTGGGATTGTAACTCCACCTCTGGTAGCCTCATTAGCCAGCCCAGATTGGCTAATGTCGATTCTGTGCAAAATTGTCATCTGATGACAACACCATACCTATGTTCCATCACCGTGTCCAAGTTCTCCCCTCAGCGCGATCCTCCTTGGTTGACCTCACTCCCCCTCATTGGGCAAACTAAGTAGAGGACAGGGACGGCAAGGATGGGGGATCAGGCTTAGGGAAAAATTTAGATTTGGCAATGGAGTGGTGGTATGTTTTAGCATTTCTTTCATTTAATTTTTTTTAGTTTGTGGGGGTCAGACCACCTGAAATCTTTTTTATGAAACACCCTGGATTTTGGTTGGAGTAACAGAAGTGAACATGAACATTAATGTTAATACATATTTTCATGAATTGC